TATAACTTTCTTGGATAAAAATCTTATTTAGCATTTTGGTATTTATTTCCAATTCTTTAAATTCTTAGCCTTACAATTAATATTTCTTTTGTTGAAGAATTAAGGTAAACTCTCCATGTAGCTTCTCAGACTCATCATTCTGAAGATCTCTAATTAAGATAGTTAAATGGCAGTTTCTGAAAATGATTAGAAAGTGAGGTTAACAAATTCTGTATCCTTAAAATGTTCTGTCTTGGTTGTGAGCATGATGGCTGAATCCTTCTTCTTCTAACTCTCAGAGCTGCAGGAAACCACTATCCTGTGGACTTCTCATGAGGAGCATCTATCTGGAACACATGTGGGTACTCTCTCATCCTTTCCTTATCTGGAGAGATTCCATAAAACCAGTCTTCTTGCCACAGTTGATGTCTCTACCTTTTTGGAGATGTGCTAGTTCACCAGACTTCCCCTGGAAGTCCTAAACAGCTATTATTCCAAAAGTCTGCTCCGATAGGAGGAATGCACTCTCCCAGAAGAAGCAAATATATAAATGGAGTGTTTCTGGATCTGATTGTTTTCGGTTTCTCAGATTAAAGTAACAAACGGAAGTAGTTTTCAGTTTTGGATGTTCATCACCTGGGTCCCTATCTAAAAAAAATCTTAAAATTGTGGTTCATTAGTGTAAACTCCACGCTTAATTATTATATTGCACTTTATATGGGGCTAATCCAGAAAACTCAATAGTACAAAAGTTGACAGCACAGTTGTTTGTGGGAAGAGTACAGAGGAATAATATTACATGTGTTAAAAGCACTGAAATGGCTGCAATTAATCTCTGGGCAAAATACAGAGTAGTCAATACCTTTAAAGGCCTATGTTCAGGCTATTTGGATCTGAGCCATGCTTACTGAGATCATTTGATGAGGGTATTTGAGAAGATTGTATTTGGGCCTACAGAGTTGAGGGTTTAACATCTGTATTAATGGTTAAATCCTTTAAAACACATCTTTTTGAACTGGCTTTTATTGAATACTTGTTAATTTGTTTTATTTGTTACTTGAACTGTTTTAAGGTGTCGATTTGTTCATTTCTTTTATTGTAAATCACAAAGCAGCTTCTGTAGTTGGAGCTTCTGTATTAAATTAAATTAAACAACATTTTCTGCAGTAGCTGTTTTGTGCTAAAACTATTTGAATTGCTTTTGAAAAGAATAATTAAATGGTTGTCCTTTATAGGCACGTTATTTGGAAATTAAAAACCCATCACATGCCATTACTAGTGAACTAAGACTGAAACAAAGACACTTTTATAAGATCCAAATAGGTAAGATTTAAGAATCAAGCTGGAAAGAAGGGCTGTAGTTCAGTGGTAAGAATGCAGGATTTGTATCAGTACCAACATTCTCTTCTTTAAAAAACTGAATAATCAGCATTTAACACCACATTGAAGGACTTGCTGTAGAGTATACTCTGTCTTATTGCTAGATAAGCCTGTATTTGTAAGGCTTGGTTAACAGTAAGCTCTTATGAACAGAATCAATGGAATGTTATGTTTAGATAAATACATTTGTACCATAACCTTGGTTTATGAAGAGAAGAGTACAAATAAAGGAGAATATTTGTAGGTCAGGGTTGAAATGAGGGGTCCTTGGTGCTCTCTGAGCTTGCTTGTTTTCCTGCAGATGTTTCATTACCCTAACTAGGTAGCATCATCAGTAGTAAGGAGTGCTGTTTGCTGTCAGTTTATATTCTACTGTTTTGCCTATCTGTGTAGGTGGGGATGGTCTTAGAGATTCTTTGGTTGGGCTATTTACTGATGGCTCTTTGGCAGTTTCTTGATTGGAATATTGTTTACTTGATTGTTAGTCTGAAGTTAATCTTGAAGTTAATCTATGCTGAGCTGGATGCTGATTACTGTTGAAGAGGTGCTGGAGTTTTTTTGTTCTCTTTTGGGTGGATTGATTATCTCTTTTGCATAGTCTATAGATGTTGTTAATGTCATTTGTGTCTATTGATGGCGGATTTGTCAGAGTGCCAAGCTTCTAGAAATTCCTGGCATTATTTTATTTGGCCTGTTCTAGAATTGTCACATTTTTCCAATTGAAATTATGGTTAAATCTGTCTATGTGTTTATTTATTTATTTATTTATTTCATGTATTTATATGCCGCCCTTCTTCAGAAGGACTCAGGGCGGTGAACATAAGTTAAAAACGTGTACAACAAAATCCCATTTTAAACCAAATTAACTAATAAATAATAAATAATAAAACTCGGAATCAGAGTCAGCCTATTTGCTTGAACAGCCAAGTCTTCAGGTCCCGACGGAAGGAGTGGAGATCAGGAGCCGTCCGGAGCTCAGTAGGCAACTCATTCCAGAGGGTGGGAGCACCCACAGAGAACGCCCTACCCCTGGGCTCCGCCAGACGACATTGGCTCACCGTCAGAACCCTGAGGAGAGCAGCCCTATGTGAGCGAACAGGACGGTGAGAGGCAGGCAGGAGAACGTCCTGCAAATATCCCAGACCTAAGTCATGTAGGGCCTTATAGGTGAAAACCAGCACCTTGAAGCGGACCCGGAGAACCACTGGTAACCAGTGCAGCTCACGCAGGAGAGGTGTTATATGGGAGTAACGAGGTGCTCCCGTAATAACCTCTGCGGCTGCATTCTGGATCAGCTGGAGTCTCTGGGTGCATCTCAGGGGCAGGCCCATGTAGAGGGAATTGTAGTAATCCAAGCGGGAAGTAACCAGGGCATGAGTGACAGTGCGAAGGTCATCTCGGTCCAGAAAAGGGCACAACTGGGGCACCAGGCGAACCTGTGCGAAGGCCTCCCTGGTCACAGCCATCAGGTGGTCTTCTAGGGACAGCCGAGCATCCAGGTTTCACCCAAGTTGCGAGCCCTATCAACGGGGGCAAGTTTTTCCTCACCCATCAAAACTGATGGGGTCTCTGAAACCCAAGATGCCGGCATCCACAGCCACTCAGTCTTGGAGGGGTTGAGTCTGAGTCTTTCTACTCATCCAGGCCCGCACCACCTCCAGGCAACGGGACATCACGGAAAGGGCATCTCTGGGGTGGTCTGGGGTGGAGATATATAACTGGGTATCATCAGCATATTGATGATATCTCACCCCGAAGCCATGAATGATCTCACCCAGCGGCTTCATATAGATGTTAAAGAGCAGGGGGAAGAGAACCAACCCCTGAGGCACCGCACAATTTAGGGGCCTCGTGGTGGACCTCTGCCCCCCGGCCCATACAAACTGCAAGCGACCTGAGAGGTAGGAGGAGAACCACTGTAAAACAGTGCCTCCCACCCCAACCCCACAAGTCGCTGCAGTAGGATACCATGGTCGATGGTATCAAAAGCTGCTGAGAGGTCAAGTAGGACCAGGAGGGAGGAACAACCACCATCCCGAGCCCGCCAGAGATCATTCACCCAGAGCTACCAATGCCGTTTCCGTGCTGTGCCCGCGTCAGAAGCCCGATTGGTACGAGTCTAGGTATTCCATTTCCTCCAGGAACTGTGGGAGCTGTTGCGCCACTACAGTCTCAACAACCTTCGCAATGAAGCGAAGGTTGGAGACGGGATGATAGTTATTAAGTGAGTCTGGATCCAGGGAAGGCTTTTTGAGGAGAGGTCGAACCACCGCCTCCTTAAGAGAGGCGGGGAAGACCCCCTCCTTCACTGAAGCATTGACAATTGCCTGGATCCAGTCTCTAGTCATCTCCCTGGCAGCCGAAACCAACCAGGAAGGACAAGGATCCAATAAGAAAGTGGAGGAACCAAGCTTACCCATAATCCTGTCCACTTCCTTGACAGAAACAGGGTCAAACTCAACCCAGATATTACTCTCAAGACCTACCCTAGTCTCCCCATTGGACTCTGCTCAGAGTCCAATCCGATCCGGATCTGAGCGATTTTGTCATGCAGAAACTGTACAAAATCCTCAGCTCTGCCCTGTAAAGGGTCTTCCCTCGCTCCCTGATTGAGGAGGTAGCGGGTCACACGAAACAGGGCCACTGGGCGGTTTTCTGCAGATGCAATGAGGGCGGCGAAGTAATCTTGCTTCGCCGCTTCCATCACCACTAGATAAGACCTAATATGGGTTCTTAACTGTGTTCGATCAGATTCAGACCGGGAGGACCTCCAACTCTCCTCTAGGCATCTTTTCCGACGTTTCATTTCCCGTAGCTCCATGGAAAACCAAGGAGCGACCTGGGATTTGCGTCGGGTCAGAGGCCGCAAAGGTGCAATTCGGTGCAAGGCGTCGGCAGCCGCCCGTTCCCAGGATGCCACCAGAGCATTTCTGGTGTTGTGAAATTAAAGAATTTTTGTCATGTCTTCTGACTGCCAGTTGGTGTTCATGGATGCGTTCTGCCAATCTTCTGCCTGTTTGTTCTTACATTGTATGTTGTAGATGACTCCTGTTTTTTCTTCTGGGGCTGCTGGGTCTTTTGGTTTGCTTAGGATGTTTTGAGGGGCTTTAGCAGCTAGCTTGTGTGCTACCCTGATTCCATGTGGTTGTAGTAGTCTGTTGGTGGTTTCTGATATATTCTTGATATGTGGCGGTGTAATTCTTTTTACGGTTTGTGTTGATTGTGCTGTATTGAGTTGAGTGGTCAGGGACTTTTTGATAAAGTTGTGTGGTATCCATTTTTTTGGAATGCGTTGTATAGATGCTCCATTTCCTTTTCCTGCTGTTCTGGGTTGCTGCAGTGTGTTTGGGCTCGTTTAAATAAAGTCCTTACACAGCTTTTCTTGTGGGAGATTGGATTGTTGCTGGTTAGTATGGGTGGTTTTTTTGTAAACTTGCCATTGTGGTCTCCGCTGATCAGGATGTCAAGGAAGAGTAGCAAGTTGTTTTTTTGTTTATTTCTTCTCTAGTAAGAGAAGAGTTTATACTGGTTTCCATAGAAGAGACAACTTTGATCCTTGAATGAAATATTATTCATTGTTGATTGAATAACTGTTTCAATCAAAGCAATCGGATATTATAAGTTTTTCCTTCTTTTTCCAGAAAAACGAATGGCTGTGTTTGAACTGCCAAACTCAGAGGCTACTAGAAGGAAGCCTAGGAGATCCTGCTCCAATGCCACTACCCACTTCAAAACAACAGCCAACTGGATCCCCCCGGCACCAAGCTGGAGGTCAACAACAGAAAGGAGCCCAGCAGCATGAACCATCAATTGCTAAAGACAGGCATCCTGCACATTTCAGGACTTCAGAACAAAGCAAATTACCAATTGCCACAGTCAAAAAAAAAATGCCTGCTGCTCCATCTGAAGAAAAGCCACTGCCCAAATTAGCTGAAGAGCCTCCAAAACCTTCTGAAAGTCCATTGTCAAAAGGGAAAATTACAGCTTCAAAACCAGAAAGAGATATCAAAGACAGCACAGTTGTATCTGAATCTCAGAAAACAAGAGAGCAAGAGGTAAGCACTTTTTCACTCAGCAATGTACAAACAGTAGATGGCAGTGTGAGGTGTGTTGGAAGATGTTTAGCCTAAGACAGTGTTTCTTAATAATCTCAGCAACTTTAAGAAGTGTGACTGGCCTGAAGAATTCTGGGAATTGAAATTCACACATCTTTAAGATGCTAAGATTGAGAAACCCTGAACTTGAACTAGTAAGGAATTTTAAGGCAAGTTATGCGTCAGATAGACTGTATTCTATTATGTGGATCATAGAATTCATCATGGGTTACAGCCTACATGAGTTCTTTTTAAATATACACATATAAAGGAGATAAGTTTTTTGTTTTTCCTTGCTGGGTTTTTAATCACCCTTAACTTTCAGAACATTTTCAGCATCTCAAGATATTCTTGTTATCTCCCTGAGAAATATCCCTTCCAACACATTCTGTTTGCAAATGTGCTAATCTTGGAAATATATACTGTATAATTTGTTTTCAAGTCTCTTCTGATCTGATGAATAAAGAAAGCGTGACAATATAGTTTACAGTTGGTAGGACATATTTACTATACATCATTTTGTGATAAAGCATTCAGAATCTAAATGCAAGATTTGCTGGATCTGAGCACAGCTTTATCATTTTGTATAAACATTGGCTAGTCGGTTGTTTCTGGAAATTTCTCTCTTTCTCTCTAGCGCCACACTTGTATATTGTATGTCCAAGGAGAATGCTTGCTAATGGTTAGTGATTCACACCAGCTTTCCTCAACTCTGATGCACATTTCCAAATGCACATCTATAAAGTACCTCCTTTACTGGAGATCTGGTCGTTCTACGACATCTTTATTTCTATCCCAATTGTAATTCTAGTATACATATAGGGATAGGCAAAGCCACTACATTTTCAGAAAGCTTTGTGTGTGCTTGGTTGCTCGTTGAGGTAATTTCTCCGGGAAATATTCATGTGGTATCTAGATAGAATACAATTTACACCCGTGAAATCAGTATCAGATTCTTTCTGCTATTGGGTTATGATAGGAATTATCAAAAATTATCCAAGTTTAGTTGTAGACAGTGGAGAATCAAAGGAGTCAGAGTGTTAGGTATTAGTACACAGCAGGAGGCTAATTATGAGACTTCCAGAAAGAAAAACAAATTGGAGTACCTAAGGGAAAAACCATTAGTTGTTGCTAGTGAAAGAATGAAGGTGAATAGGAACAAGCCCTGTTAGATTAAGACATCACAATAGACCTCTTCCAATCTCCATCTGGAGTGATTAATAAAGACCAGGATATTCCATGGATGTTACATAGCATAGCAGACAATACCCTTCGGGTAGAAGTTGACTGTAGACCTGACCGTCTACTTAGTTTTCTGTACTTAACATGACAGGTTTTCTTTGAAATGGACATTAATTCATTTCCCTTTCCGGTAAATGTAGAGCCTTCATTTCTCCCGAGTTGCAAGCTGAGAATAGATATTAGTACAAACAGTAACTTTTTTGTAATGGGTTCTGTGGAATTTCCAATTATACAGCTGCCAATATTTTGATTGGAATATTGATTAAATGAGAAAATTTTAATCAAGGTAGTCTGATCAGCACCCTTATCTTTCCTTCTTGGGTTTTCTCCACAAAATGCCAATTGAGCACCAAGTATGGTTTTTCTGCCTTCGGGGATTCTGATGATTGGCCTTTTGCCTCACCGTTACTTTATTCCCAGGACTGACATCTGAATTTTGTGAGGAAAATATGTGGTTGGGATTCTTACCTTTTGAAACCTGAAGAAAAATTTGCTTCTTGGCTTTAAATTCCAGTTTCTGAAGTTGTATGTGAAGATGTAAAATGTTTTAATTCTGCACATGAGATCAACACCGCATCGACATTATTGGAATCCTGGGAATAAATTTAGCACTTAGCTGAATTTCAGTAACATTTCTAAAGTGCCTTTTAGGGGTCAGTTTTTGCTTGAAGGAATTTGTAGGCAAGAATGGAGATGGAGTTCAGTTTCCAGCAGGACAATGCCTTCTTTATTAAACCAAGAAAAATGCCTGTCAGGATTTGCATGGACAAAGCACATGTGGGGCCAGATAAGAAAGCATCCAAGGGGTAAGTACAGTTAGGAATCTAAAACGGGGGGGGGGAATCCTCCCTCCAGCCCTATTTATAGTCTGGCAGCCTTCAGGAAGTTGCTGAATTATTGGGGCAGAAGTTATATTACATTCTAAACCTCCACAAAAGGCTCTGACAGACAGAGAGCAAAGGTAAGTGAGATGAAAGAAGAAACCATCATCCTTAATGATGGATGTCATTTGTTTTCAAGAAGGCTTATTTTCCAAATCTCTGGCCAAGTTTTTTTTGGGGGGGTCGTATTGAGAAAGATGCGTCAGATCACAACTGCTATATCAGATCACAACTGCCCGAGCTTTTTCTCAGATCTATGATATTCTAATTCTGTATCATATAATGAGGCATCGTGGGAGAGGGCAGGAAGATAAGTACTGCACTCCCAAATTATTTTATCTAGGAAAGGTTTAGATCTCTTGCAGTTCAATGGGGTTTGCAAACCCAAACAAGGAGAGGGCTTTGATTGTAACAGTTAGGGCCTATCTCATTGCCATCATTATCCCACGATTAAATGTGGACTAACAAGATTGTGTCTAATAGATTTTCAACTAATTATACAGTTATACCCAAATTAGGATCATAAATGCTTCTGCACTGTCCTAAAGGAATGAATCCAGCGAGAATGCTGACTTCACAAATTCCTATCCGAATAGCTGTGGTTTTTGCAATGGAGCCAGGTTGGGCCTCAGTCCAGCCTCCAGCAATTGCAGGCTCTGATTGGTTGTTTCTCTGCTTTTTGCCCTTCCCATCTTTATAGGGAAGTCAAGTCTGACTGGATGGATGTTTGAGTGACCCTCAGTATTTGTCTTTTTCCTTCAGGGGTAGCCTCCATTCTTTGCTTTTCCAGATGTTTATATGCATGAATACCTTTGCAACCCCTTTCAACATTCTCTCGTTTAACACAAACCCTTGCTTCTCTGAACATATAGGCTTGTACCTCTATTGTTTTATGTTGTTCCCTAATTCTGCTGTAGGTCCATAGAAACTTGATAGCAATGAAGACCTGATGGTTCAGGTTCACAGGAACAAAGATGTGGCAATTGAAGCTGGGTAGCATTTTTGCAATCTGCCTATTCTGCAACTTAAATAGGAATAGAGAGAGGGAGGGAGGGAGGAGTTTTGCAGTGTGCGATGAATAGAATAGAATAGAATAGAATAGAATAGAATAGAATAGAATAGAATAGAAAGCAATGCAATGCAATGCAATGCAATGCAATGCAATGCAATGCAATGCAATGCAATGCAATGCAATGCAATGCAATACAATACAATACAATACAATACAATAGTTGGAAGGGACCTTGGAGGTCTTCTAGTCCAACCCCCTGCTCAGGCAGGAAACCCTATACCAGTGATGGTGAACCTATGGCATGCGAACCGTCGCCCCAATTCAGCTCTTCCCTGCATGCGTGCGTGCCTCCCACCAGCCAAATGGTCTTCAGGTCTCTGTCGCGGGCAGCAGGGGTCATGCATGCACTTGGGGCATGTGCGGGGGGCGCGTGCACATGCATCAGGGCAGGGCGCATGTGCTGGGGCCGCGCATGCATTGCATTTTGGTGGTTCAGGCGCGCTTTGGGCACTCAGTCCGGAAAAGGTTAGCCATCATTGCCTTATACCATTTCAGACCTTACCATTTCAGATAAAGTTTTGAAAGAAGCAAGCATGCAAGCTAGATTAGGCAGAAGCCAAGACATGCTCAGCGGAAAATATAAGGATAGATGGGCTTGCAGAAGAGGCAAGAATGACATTAAGCAGGACTGGAATTTCAGTGAGGGAACCACCAGGCATGGCTCTTAGACTGTTGCATGTTAAAGCGACATGGACAGTACCATAGCACAGATTCATTCAGGTAAGGATATGTTAGGTAAGCAGCAAGATTTAAGCTAACATAGTTTTCTGGCATCTCTGGGGTGGGAAGGGGGCATGGCAAAACAGCTGTTCAGGCATCAGCATGATATGGCTTCAAAAAAAAGGCGAATGCAATTTTAGATTGCCTCAGACTATACAAAAGCATAGTTTTTAAATCACAAGAAATGCTGACTCTATTTTGTTCTGCTCTGCTGAGATCCTGCATTGAATCTCCTGTCTAGATTTAAGAAAGATATAGAGAAATTGGAAGAAGAGGGCATACAAGGGTAATAAGAATAATTAGGAAACTCAAAAAGAAGTTGTATCAAGAAAGATTGAAGGCACTGGGCATAACTGGGCATCGATAAACTTGAAAATATTGAGGGAAAGTATGGTAGCACTTTTCAAATACCAGAAATAATGTCATACAGAAGAAAGTCAAGATCGTTATCTTTCATTCCAGAGTGTGGGATGTGGAATAACAGATTTAAGTTAGAGAGGACTTCTGTTGAATGTTAGAAAAATGTCATAAAAGAAAGAGCAGTTTAGCAGGGAACAAATTACTCAAAATGCAGGTGTTCTGCCTTTCATTGGGTGCATTCAGATAGATGCTAGATAACCTGGCCAGGGGGCTTAAATTTGGAATTTTGCACTGAGCTGAGAGCTGGACTTGATAAGTTTATGAGGTGATGCCTCAAGTAGACATTCTGAAGCTTACTCAAAGCTAAGCTGGAAAAAAAAATGTATCATTCAAATAATGATCTTTATATGTGCCTCTAACATTAAAAACATAAATCTGTGTTTGTGTGTGTGTGAGTTGAGAGTTAATGTATTATTCAAAAAGGCATGGGAAATTGTTTTAAACAATCGAGTAACACATTAAGCAACTTTTGTGGAAACTAAGATAGAGATCTCCAGTGCATTCTTTTGCAAAGTAGGAGTCAAGGGTGCTGATGCTTCTTTTTGCAAAAGCAACAATTGTATGTCTGGTCTTGACTTTAAAATTGTTCAGCCTTGGGTAAACTTGATTTTAAAAAAAAAATGGAAGGACAGGGCCAATAAGATATGTAAACCTGAGTTCCTGGCTTGAGGGCAGAGAATGTAGGTTTATAACATTTCAGAGCTATCTGCTTGGGTTTGACACATACTTTTCATTGTTCTAAAAAGCTTGTTTAAAGTAGACCTGTCATCCACAGTTGGATGGAGACTTATAAGTATCACAATTCATAATGACACTGCTAAAACATAATTTAGGTTAAAAAAACACCAGTTGCATATAATGGGATAAAGTTTTTAAAGTAACTAGTTATCATCAGTGATCGGGCAAATAATTCTGATTTGACAAAACAAAATTGGGTATACTTATATTTTTCTAAAAACAAAATGTTTCATACTAGTGCTGGAAAATTGCAATATACCTCAAAACAAAATCTTCCCTGTGGGATGACATTTACAGCAAAACAGTATGAGCTGTTCGTTTATTAAACTACAAATAGATGGTCTGAAAAGACCTTGTTCTTTTTTGTTGTTGTTGTTGATTTGAATCTAGCAGGGAGATCTCTTTTATTAACTACATATATTCGTGTTATACATTTGTGTCATATTACAAGGGTGTATATCTGTGAAATAAACCCCAGACTTATGTTTTGACTTCTGAGTGTAGGTTGGGGTAGGAAAAAAACACAAAAGAATTACTTCCTTGGGCTCCTCATATTAGGAATCAGTCTTGCATGCACTTTTAAATTATTAAAAGGTAGAGAGGATCTGGTCTACCAATCAAAAGGCATTGCACACAAATTCTGTCTTTCTGCCATAAATAACTTTCTGGATTAAAAAGAGCAACGAAAACAGTGGAAAAATACTGAGACCCAAATGGAGTATGTCATCAGGCCCCTGAAAATTCTAAAAAAGAGAACAGAGTGATTGGACAATAATTACTCTACCAGCAAGCACCCAAGATAAGGATGCTGCTCTCATTTCTTAGCATATTATGGTTGCTGTTTTTGAATGTTAGAGTCCAGGTTAATTGCAGCTATAAATTGCTGTAAAGCTGAATAATAACATGAATTGTGTTTACAGTCAGTTATAATGAAATGTTAATGGATTTTCATTTCCTTTGTAGGAATCCAGCAAGCCTTATCCTTCAGACCTGCAGTCGCGCAGCCCCCAAAGCTTGAGTGACACGGGCTACTCATCTGATGGGATCTCTAGTTCCCAGAGTGAAATCACAGGCTTAGTGCAGCAAGAAGAAGAACAGCTAAACGAAACAGGAATTGTAGAACCAAGTCCTCCCAGTCCTTCTGAACTTACTAAGTTGGAAACCAGCATGCGCCCTTTACTGGAGTCGAAAAGCTTGTCCCATCCATCAACCGACCGTGGGAAGACATACCATGAATTACGGGAGGAGCAGAGGCAGAGGCAGAGGCCACGGTCACTTTCTATCACTCCAGAAGCCTTTGATTCCGATGAGGAGCTAGAAGACATAATGGAAGAAGATGAAGACTCTGTGGAATGGGATAATCAAAGGGAGAAGAAGGACAGTGTGGAGTCTTCAGATGATTTTGGCAGCAAGCTACGCCATGACTATGTGACAGATAGTAGTGAAGCAGGATTCTCCCCATTACCAACTAAACAGAAAGGCAAAGAGCCTGTAATGACGGATGAAGAATTCATGAGGAGGCAAATCTTGGAGATGAGTGCAGAAGAAGACAATCTTGAGGAGGGAGAAGAATATGATCGTGCAAAATACCGTACAAAAAATGGACACAAGCCTGATTCTGAGAAAAGCAGAGAGCCTACTGCGTCCAAGAGACGCCTGCCTCACAGCTCGAGCAGCATATATGAGGAGGAACAAAAAGAATTGGAAAGCGCCGAGAATGATGATATGGCTGCATCTCAGGGAGGTCTGCGTCGTTTCAAGACCATTGAGTTAAACAGCACTAACAACTATGGCAGAGACATAGAGTTGAGCCAGGAGGCAGACATCAACCTGGACAGAGAACCTGAACTGGAGATGGAGAGTCTCACAGGCTCCCCAGAAGATAGATCAAGAGGTGACTATTCCTCCACCTTGCCACCAACCACACCCAGTTACACCTCGGGCACATCCCCAACCTCGGTCTCTTCTCTGGAGGAAGACAGTGACAGCAGCCCAAGCCGCAGACAGAGATTAGAAGAGGTTAAACAACAGAGGAAAGCCCGGCATCGCTCTCATGGCCCTCTACTGCCAACCATTGAAGATTCCTCAGAGGAAGAAGAGCTGCGTGAGGAAGAGGAGCTCTTGAGAGAACAAGAAAAAATGCGAGAGGTGGAGCAGCAGCGGATCCGAAGCACGGCACGCAAAGCAAAAAGAGATAAAGAAGAGCTGAGGGCACAGAGGAGGAGAGAGAGGTCTAAAACTCCGCCCAGTAATTTGTCACCTATTGAAGATGCTTCGCCCACTGAGGAACTGCGTCAGGCAGCAGAGATGGAGGAGCTGCACAGGTCTTCCTGTTCAGAATATTCACCCTCTATTGACTCGGAGGCTGAAGGATTTGATGTCATTGCCTCCAAACTGTACAAATCTGGCAGTGAGTACAATCTGCCAACCTTCATGTCCCTTTATTCTCCAACAGAAAAAATGGCTAGCTCTAGTTACCCATCCAACAAGCCCCTCAAAAGTGCAGAAGAAGCCTATGAAGAGATGATGAGGAAGGCAGAAATGTTCCAAAAACAACAACCTTTCCAACAAAGTATTTCATACAACAACACCTTTCAAGAAGTAAGTTATCGTGGTTCGGAAGACCAAAGTAATTTTGAATATCAGTACATAGATGACTATGGTTATGACAGTCGGAGTATGGATTCCTCACAAACTGACTATCAGAATGAGCTTTCCAAATCTGGGGCACTATATGAAGAAATCCTTCAAACATCACAGAATATCTCCAGAATGCATCAATCTTCTTCTCTGGATTTGACACTTGAGCAAGAAATGAAGAAAAAAGGGAGAGAAGATCCCTATCCAGAGAAGCAGTTTTTGAATGCGGAGAGTGCTTATGAAAGTGGCCCACTCACTCCGGGAACAAGTCCTACCCAACTCTCTGCTCCCGTCTCCTTTTCACAGACTGAAAGCAGTGCAGGCAGAATAATCCCCGATGTTAGAGTCACTCAGCACTTTGAAAAAGAGAGTAATGAGCAAACAAAGTTTCATAGTTCCTCAGTTACAGCTAGCTCAGTTCCAAAGAGTGTAGCTATGCCTTACTCATATAGTAAAGGAACTAGCCCAGTCACTACCATTGTTTCTAGTCCAGCTAGCGCAAGCCGAATTTACAGCTCTCCAACTTCAAGTGGCTCTGATGTATCACCTGTGTCCACCATTAGCCAAAGTCAGACAAAAGTAACTGCAAGTTATGGCTCTCAAACAGAAAACATTCCCAGGGTCAGTGGGCCATCAGTAAGAGATAAACATCAAGGTGTGACTGATGGCAAGACGAACGTACCCATGACAACCCCCAGAATGTATTCTTTTTTCAAAAGTTCCAGCCCACCCCTTTCCCCTTCTTCTCCAACTCAAAGTCCTACTTATTCTGTTCCGAGAACTGGGATGCCATCTAGTTCTGGGGTAGGAACTAAATCAACAGCTGAGTTTTCGACTCAAACACACAGCACAATTATTTCATACGACATTGCAACTACTGGGGCATCAACAGCTTCTTCAATGATAGCTCAAGGAACACAAACTCCTCAGCGAGCCAGCTCCCCACGCCTGGCTAGGCAACAGTCATCACAAGAAGCCCCCTTTATGGTCATCACCTTAGCGTCTGATGCAGCTATTCAAACCAGGCCAATTGGTGTAAGTTCCTCCATTTCACCACCTTCATCTCCAACTCAGCAAGGCCACCAGCAAACAGTGCATAGTTACAGCCAAACAGCAATCAGTGCGGTGCAATTCCAGTCACAGCAGGTCCAGACTACTCACACCAAGGCACAGCCAATGCCTGAAAAAGCCTCTCCTTATACTCCAGTGCAGAAAGTGCAGAGCACTGCTACTGACCCTATGCCTGGTGTGTACAGCTGGGGCACCCTACCTGCAGAGAATATTTCTTTGTGTAGGATATCCTCAGTCCCTGGGATGTCTAGAGTAGAACCTGGACCTAGAGCATCTGGTAATAATATTGTCGATTTGAGGACAGCAATAAAGTCTGTTCCAATCATTGTAACAGACCAGGGAATGGATCTCACGTCTGCTGAGAGCAGAAAATATTGCCTCACCATGGACCAGTCACCAAGTCGGCAATCCACAGCCATCCAACCTTTAATCATTAACCTCAATGCCCAGGAACAACCACATGCTATTATCAGCAGTGCCACCACTGTCAGCATAACAGTTGCGTCTACCATGCTTATGTCCCAATCAAAGCAACCTTTCCAGAACAGAATTGACTTTGGTCAAGAGACAGGAAGTCCAGTCTGTCTGACGCAAATTAAACAGGTGGAGCAAGCCGTTCAGACCGGTCCCTTCAGAGGACCCATGAGTGGAGCTGGCCCATCTGCTTCTATGGGCCATCCAGAAGCGGCAGGTCCACAGCAAACAAAATTTGCAAGATACAATTTGCCCAACCAAATGACATCCATGATAAAAAAAGATACACTAATTACTCAGACTAGCAATGCCCAAAATATTGTGAGTGCCATTCCCAGGCCGTTTCCTCAGGATCAAAGCTCAGAGATATATAGAGGGATCCCAGTGGAATTGAAAAGTCAGACTCCTTCAGTTGCTCTTGGAAGTAAGAAGTCCCAAGTGATGATGGTGCAGATGGATGACATAGCAGCAGGGTCTGTCACAAAACTCATCAAAGAAGAACCTCCTCCTAATGCTCTGGACCTCACGGGAATGAAGCCTGAGAGCCAAGTAGCATGCTGTGATGTAGTCTATAGATTTCCATTTGGAAGCAGCTGCACTGGGGCTTTTAATCCTTCTCCTAAGGTGCCAGAAAAACATATTGGAGAAGCAGCTCCCCTTGGCAAAGCTAGTGGCCAGTATTATGGAACCAGAGAACAGGAAATGCCGGAGGCATACCCTTACAGAGAACAGCCGGCACCGGTCCCTCATCCATACGAAGAGCACCGATTCCATCCACATGGCATGTTTGGGAGATTATATTCCTCAATGTCGGATACAAATCTTTCTGAAATGGGGTTGAACTATTACTCAGTTAAAGGAGAGCAGCCCTTTCCTTCCCCTGGAGCTGGAGATTCCGCTGTGGACTTGACAACTATGAAGCATCCCTACAGCCACAGTTTTACGGAGGGAGGACACCTAGGGCATGGGCTGCAATATGGCTCTTTCACTGACCTCCGTCAACCCACTGAATTATTAAGTCATTCATATCCCATGCGAAGGTACAGCTCAGCCTCCAATATCTACTCCGATTATAGATATTCATCAAGAGGAGACTTGGCCAATTTCCAGGAAGCTAGCCTAGCTCATTACAGTGCTACCACTGCTCGTGAAATCAGCCGAATGTGTGCAGCCCTTAACTCCATGGACCAGTATGGGAGCAGGCATGCGAACAGCCAAGATCTTCTACAATATGGACATAGTGCTCTTGGTGCTGCACCAGGAGGGACTGGAAACATTATGGCTCAACAGGGTGCCATGAAATCAAACATGATGTACAATCCAAATTTCCCAGAGTCTCGTTCTGGCTTTGGAAACTTAGCCCAATATAATCTCTCAAGGTTTGGATCTGTCAGACAGGTACTCCCTTCCACAGCTACTGTACGAGCTGCCGATGGCATGATTTATTCAACCATTAATACACCAATAGCATCAACCCTTCCCATCACCACCCAGCCAGTTTCGGTGCTACGACCCATGCTCCGAGGCCTGTACAGGCACTATGCTCCAGGCAGTATCACAGCTGTTCCTCTGGCTAGCCTCACCAGAGTACCCCTAGTTACTCCTAGGATCCCCCTTGCATCTCAAGGTCTTTATCGCTATTCTGTGCCCAGCAGGATTCCTGCAGTTCCTTCCGCATCTGTAATGGAAACACCCATGTATTTAGGAAAACCACTTAGCACCTCTGTAGCCAGCACTGCTGCCAGCACAGTAAACATAGCACCTGCTACTAAGTCCCCTGCTCCAAGCACAGTCAGCTTCCAAAGACCTGAGCAGACAGGGGTTGGGCCACGCGAGGAGGTGCCCATGTCAACCTCAGAGGTTCAGGGTTCTGCCAGGGACACCAGCCAGACACAACAGGAGCTCCCTCCCCGACTGCCGGCCCAAAAGCCTCAGATAGAAGCCCCACAGGCCAGCACTGCTAGCAAAGGAGCTCTGGAAAGAGAGGAAAAGGAGGAAGAACGGCAGAGGAAGCAACATGAGCACATCCTCCAGTTTGAAAGGGAAAGAGTAGAACTGGAAAAACTGAGGCAGATGAGGCTTCACGAGGAACTGGAAAGGGAACGGGTGGAGTTACAGAGACACAGAGAGAAGGAGCAGCTCTTGATGCACAGGGAAATCCAGGAGTTGCAATCCATAAAGCACCAGGTCCTCCAGCAGCAGCAAGAGGAGCGACAGGCCCAGTTTGCCATGCAGCGGGAGCAGCTCGCCCAGCAGCGCTTCCAGTTAGAACAAATCCAGCACTTGCAGCAGCAATTGCAACAGCAGCTGGAAGAGCAGAAGAGGCAGAAGAGTACCTTTCCTCCAGTATGTGACCCAACTGGCCGGATTCCTCCTCAGGTTACCCCTGAGGTAACGATAGAAATGCAAAGGACCTTGGCTCAAAATGGACAATACTGGCCACCCCTAAACCAAGCCTTTATTGCTACGGCAGCCCCGGGGCAAGACGGACAAACACAGCCCCGCTATCCGGGACTCCAAAGGCCTCTTACAAACTCGGCCTCTGAAATGTCCCTGCAGACTGAAGAACAGTGGGAAGCCAGTCGGGGGATAAAGAAACGGAACTCGATGCCTCGTCTTCGGGACGCCTATGATAAGGAGCCCAGCCATGAACCATACTTGGTGAAAAAGATCACAGACAGCAGTGTGCAGACTGATGAAGAAGATGGCGAGGAACGTTTCTATGCATCCCGCCGGCGCCGTTCCCGGCGCAGCACTGATTGCAGTGTTCAGACAGATGAGGAAGACGATGCTGAGTGGGAACAGCCGGTGCGTCGCAGACGTTCCCGCTTCTCCCGCCACTCTGATTCTAGTGCAGAGAGTAAAGCCGATTCTTCAGCAAAAGGCATGGCCAGCATAGCCATCCAAACCATCAGTGACTGTTCTGTGCAAACCGAACCCGACCAGTTGCTCCGAGTGTCCCCTTCCATCCACATCACTTCCCCTGACCCCAAGGTGGAGATCGTGAAGTACATCTCTGCCCCTGAGAAGACCCAGAGAGGGGAGAGTTTGGCTTGCCAGACAGAACCCGAAGTGCAACCCCAGCCAGGCATTGCAATCCCTCAGCTCACAGTGCCCACCTCAATCCCTCCTTACTCCTCCAACATCCAGATGGTCAGCTCTGGGCCTCTGGATCCTCATTCAGTCCGACAGCAAGCACTAGCCAAGAAGAAGCCTGTTCCTCTTGAAATCGGCTACCAATCCCACTTGCCCACAGACTCCTTGTCTCAGCTTGTGTCCCGACAGCCACCCAAATCCCCTCAGGTCCTCTATTCCCCAGTGTCTCCTCTTTCCCCTCATCGGTTGCTAGAGTCATCCTTTGCATCCAGTGAAAGGCTCAACAAGGCCCACGTGACTCCACAGAAGCACTTCATGGCCGAGTCCACCCAACGCCAGCAGACCCTGCCTCGTCCCATCAAAACCATCCAAAGGTCTTTATCTGATCCCAAGCCCATCAGTCCCACCTCAGAGGAGTCTGCAAAGGACAGGTTTTCCTTGTATCAGCACACCTTCCTGCCCGGCAGCCAGGTAAGATCACTTGGTCTATGAAAATTGAGTGGGGTCTGATCATCTTTAGGCCTGGAAAGAAGGGGAATGTTTTCAGCTTCAGATGAAGACTAACATTTCACTCTTCATGTCCATAGCAGGTTCTGCATTTACAGTGTGAGCTGAATTTTGTAATTTGTTTTACATGTCTACTTCCCTGCAGATCCACCACTGGATCTGTTCTTATTCGTGCTTCTTTCTACTTGCCCTGGGCAGATTGGAGCCTTTTTTTAAGCCCCAAAGCTTTATTTTAAAAAGTATGGGGTTGTTTTTTTAAATTAAATTGATTATTGAGAATAAGCAATAAGCAATAAGCCTACACTACAGCCAGCTTTTTATTTGACATGCTTAAAATTTATAGCACCAGTTTTTCAGAACACTTTCCAAGATAGTGAACTATATATGCATAGTTAAAATGTTGTATTTGTCTTCATTCAATCTACTCAGCATGTCTTCCAATATGACATTAAGTGCTAAGAAACCTACAGGAATAATATAGAGGTTGGAATATCTCCCTGTCTCTCTCACATAAATTAATAATGGTATCAACCACCTTGAATGTGTTTGTTCCATCATAGTGTGGTTAAATTACTAAATATGTGTATTATCATGATGCATTTATCATATAAAAATCTTTTTTAATTTCCTTTTCCCTTAAAATATATTCCTGATACTGTGCAGTCTGTACACACTCAGATACTAAAACAGTTAAGTTCAAAACAGAGTGTGATCTATTTTTTGCGTTTAAGAAACACGTGGTAATATGGAAGTAAATGGCTTGTCTGTCTGCCATCTAATGGTGGTAAAAGGAAATACCATTTTCTGCCTTGCATAAAAATATTTCTTACTGACATACACAGAACTGTGATCTTTTCCTTCATATGTTAAAAGACATCCTGTATCCCCCAAAATATCCTCCTTGGTTAGCTCTCTTTTACAAGAGCTAAAGAAAATAAACCAACTGTCGTAGCATCCTGCATGAAGAAATACCATAATGTCTCATAGCTGTTATCAATCAAGACAAAAGAGGCAAGACGTTATAACTGGCAGGGAGACAGTCGTTTTTTATTTTGGCCTCCACCATAGCTGAAAAATAGGGAATGAACCCTGTCTTCCTGAAAATACCGAAAAGGGGACTGGCTGGAATGCATACATGTATATTTGCCTGGAGATAAAGAGGATAATGTACTTGCCACAATTTTTTCTAGCCCCCCTTCCTCCCCCCCCACACACTTTTTTTTCCCCCGGTGAGAAATAAGTTAGAAAGGAGAAGGCAGGAATTAGGAATTGGATAGCAGCATAAGGAAAGGGTGCCCTCATCCTTTCCTGCTTCTCTGGAAAACCTTTCAATTATCTGTACCAAGAAAACAATTCCCCCAGTTGGCACTTAGCCTTAAATATAGCAAATAATGTATGGATGCATTTTCATAAGGATACTGCAGTGGGAAAGTAGGGTGAAATACCCCATGGAATAGAGGGCCCTGATGCTCCATCCACACACACACCCAAAAAAAACCCCAAGCCCATCATAAATAGCTACTGTATTGGAGGTATTATTATCTCAAACAGACTTGAGATCTGGCAGATTCTTGGGAAATAGCACTGACAGTTTACATTGTGGACCAATGAAGCCAAAAACCACAGCCTGTCCAAAAGCTATTAATATGTAAAGAGACACAGAGCTTCTTTTGATTACAATGTAAACATATTTGCCAGATCCTTCCTTCCTTCCTTTCTTTCTTCCTTCCATCCATCCATCCATCCATTTCACAGAGAGCTATCTCGTCTTTTCTCTTGCTATTAAAAACAAAATTATAGTGCTAAAGCATCTTGCTGAAGAGGGGTGTGTGTGTGTGTGTGTGTGTGTGTGTGTGTGTGTGTGTGTGTGTAGGGAATAGGGAGGTTTGCTCTAACCTGCTGTGTGTGCAGTTTTTCCAGCTGTTTCACATGATGAATAGCAATTGAATCTATAGCAGATTTCTCCTGTTCCAGTTCTTTGTTTATTCACTTATATGTCATGTGGGGAAACCTACAGCTTCAGATTGCTTCTTGTTTGCTACAGCCTTGAAAGCATCACTCTTCCAGGGTTTTCCAGATGAATTAGGTAGACTAAGGGCTTTTACAAAAAATTGCACTGTTCCTAAAATGAACATTGTCAGTATAATGCTTATAGACGTGCATTTTTCATGCTTTCAGCCTCTGCAGGTGTCAGAACCTAGTAGACTTTTGCTCATCTGTAAAGTTAAATAGGGTTACTGTTACTGCTATATTTGGATAGGAATTACAGGGCTGCCAGCTAGACTAGAAAGAAAAATAAATCATGCAAGAAGATAGTGGCAAGTAATTTTTAATAACGTTTCTAACAATAAGAAAACTGTACGGATCTAATCACCAGGAGCCAATCTTTACTTGAGGAATACTTTAGCTTTTTAACCCTTTATTTTGTTTCCTTACCACTAATCAAGACTGATGCAAGATGCAATTTGCAAATGACCTTCAACCATTACTTTTAGAATAAGTGATTGGAAACAAACACGTTCGGCAACTTGACTCCTGTGCTAAAATAGCAAGCCCCATTAAAAATATTCTCTGTGTGAAAGGAAAACACAGAGAAATATTCTCTGTGTGAAAGAAAAACACAAAGAACTAGATGTAGGTATGTATGAGACCATGACTGAGAGATCTGAAAACACATCTCAGCAATGCTTGTGGGGTGCAGGTAATGATGTAATGTTTTCAACTCTGAGGCTGAAAAAGATTTTGGATTTTTGACACAATTGCCAAAAGGCAATTACAAATCTGCACCATTAGAAAAGTAGCCTCTACATTCGTGAAAAGTAATATTTATATTATATTCTGTATTGGCAAGTTCCAGCCTCAACTTCTGTTTTGGATCCCACTGTTTAAGAAGTTGTCAGGCAAATTAGAGCAGGAGCAAAAAAAAAGAAGAAGAAGAAGAAGAAGAAGGGTAACATGGATGAAGGAAGTCCTGTGAGAAGAGATGGAAAAAATATACTTGTTTATCATTGATAGAAAGATTCTGTGAGGGGATGAAATCCACAATTGCCTGTGAGAATCACAGCCAGAAGTAGTTCACAAAACCACTAAAGGATAAAGGGGAAAAAATCTTAATGATAAAAGTAGTTTGATGATGAAATGAAGGCTCTAGGAAGGTGGTCGGTTCTCCGTTCTAGACATCTTCAAATAAAGCCTTGGTACAGTCATGGTACAGTATTTAGAATATTTATCATGACAACTGAACACTTACCTGAAGTGATACTTTATAATAAAAAATATATGAACCTTCTTCACTTTGGAACTAAATATCTTTACTTACATCCACTATTTCACACCATGGAACGTTCTTTCTGTGGGACAATGTCCCCAGCAGTACACCAAAATATTTCAATTTGATTAATTGTAAAGTAATGTATATTTTAAAAGACTGCCTTCAAATTACAACTGCATTCTGGCAAATTACAATTGCATTCTTATTCAAACTGAATTTCATAGCGTATATAATGTTAGTACCAGTATCTGCAGTGTCTTGATATAATAGGCAGGACTAATTTGGAATTGTGCCAAAGAAATGTCACATTTATATTTTTCTGCTTCCTGTTTGCTCCCAACCACTTCTTTCTTTTTTGCATCCTCAGAATCCTAAAATTGTTTTATGTTTTATTGTTTAATGCAGTTTTAATAATAGTTATGAAATTGATCACATAATAAGAACGTTCTGAATTAACCAGGGCCCATCCAGTGGTGAAATGTAAAATTTGTTACTACCGGTTCTATGGGTGTGGCTTGGGGGGGGTAATATGACTGGGTGGGTGTGGCCAACTTTTTTTTTTTACTTTTTTAAAGCATTTTTTTACAACCTATTCAGGCGAATAGGTTGTTAAAAAATTCTTTTAAAAGGTTAAAAAAAGGCTCTGATGATCACAGCTGTGGCGTGTGATCGTCAGAGCCTTTTTTTTTTTTTTACCTTTTAAAAGCAGGAAGTAATGACACCCGGGCAGGTGGGTGGAGCCTTGTGCTGCCATCACTACCGGTTCTCCGAATCACCTGCCACAATCGCTACAGGATTGCCCGATCCGGTCCGAACCGGGAGCATTTCACCCCTGGGCCCATCTAATTCCTGTAGCCCATTACCAACATGAAAGGCCAGATGCCTCTTGGTGAAATATACAAGCAAACTGCCCATTCTTTCTCTTTTTAACTAGAGATTACTAAATATTCAGTAATTAGGGCTAATGATCCTAGCCTGTCTTCCCCATGAATTTCTGGAATTCTCTTCTTTAAAAAAAAAAAATCGATGCCTGCTCATAATCTTTTCCCACTCCTTCCATTGGAGTTCAGCACTCCATGATATGCTATAATAGATCATATGTACACACAAAATAGAGATGACACATTTTACAAATGATGCAGGCTCAAATTCTTGGCAGATTCATTTGACTTCTCAATATCACAACTTATCCTGGGCCATTGTGGACGTTCTGCTTTAAACGTACAACATCTTTGCTTCTGATTGATATCTGACACAAGACATCTGAATTAACAATCTTGCGTTTAGCTTAAGGACAGCTTGTTGGAATTTTTAGACACTATAGGTTGGCCTAAAGTTGCATATTGAGAACAAAAAATGCTAACACGATTGGAATGCTGTACCCCATTCAAGCCTTATTCAGTTCCTAGTTATCCAGTTATTGTAACAGATCCAGGAATTATGGCAGTTTCTCCTCCTTTCTGTTGTGGGTCTGGGTACAATGCATCTACACAATGAGGGACATTCCTAAAGCCAGGAGATAAATAGGGACTTTTGTCATTTATAGGGAGGCAAAAACGCTGTTATTGTTATCTATTTTTCATTCTGAATGGTACAGTGACTGAAGTTATTGTCCCAGAAAGCTCAGGTCCTTTTACCTGGTATTCAGGCCCAATGAACAACACAAAATAGGTAGGCAAGGACTAAGACTTTTATTTACAAATAAAAGGTTATCCAGAAGCAAGTTCCAGAATGGGCACAACCCTGCTCAGAGTTAACACCCTTTCATACAGTTTTGAAAAGAGTACATTGCCATGAACCAATCATGGGAACATACATCACTACAAACCAATCACTAAAAGCAAATGTATGCATAACATTTCTGTAGACAGAGTAACAAATAAACTATTGCCATATGCTAAATAATGAATACATGTGTTAAAGTATCTTAAAATGGCTTGTTCCAACAATGACTAAAACATGGGAGAAAGGTTGAAACTGACCTGTGCCATGGAAATTTATTCAGTGACTTAAGATCAGTCCTGCTTTCTCCCCATTGCCTATCATATGGGGTTTTTTGTTGTGGGGATGAAATCTCCACCTAAGTTTTGTTGTCCATCTTCAAGAGTGAAGACAAATGCCAGAAACGTGGCAGGTAGTTTGAGAGAGAGTGTGTGGATCTGCATGTGTGTGTGTGCTCTCTGAGGAGCCACCGGTACATCAGGAGCGTTGTAGGGTTTGCAAATTTAATGTCCTTTAAAAGTCTCCACCACGGTTGCGAGCAAAATGGCTAATCCGGTTGTCTCCTGGTGCTCGAACCTGCTCTCCTGAAATCCCCACATGAAAAGCAGCCATCTGAGGCACATGTCGGTGATCTCCCATCCTCTCTTTCTGAAAGTATTAACCACCTTGCTCGCAACCATGGTGGAGACTTTCAAAGGATACCAAGTTTGGAAGTCTCACTTTCTAATCACTTTCATTCAATCCTGAATGAAAGAACATTTTAATCATAATCATAAGAATTTTTTTCAGGTTTCTGCATCAGTCTCAAAGAGGTGCTAAGCAGAAGCACATTGTCTAAATCAGGGGCCCCCAACCTTTTGGCACCAGAGTCGTGGTTTCGTGGAAGACAAATTTTCCATGGGCCAGGTTGGTGATGGCTTCGGTTTCACTCACTCACCCACCACTCACCTCCAATGTGCGGCCCGGTCCTTAACAGATCAAGACCGGTACCAACCCATGGCCCAGGGGTTGGGGACTCCTAGTCTAAATCATTTTCAAAGCATGTAGAGCCAAACTAGAGAATAATACTTGCTAATAGATACTTCTGATGAGATCATCACATTCATACTTTCTTTTCCTCAATAATTACTCCTGTGTTTTACCCTTTCTTTCTCACTCCTCATCTTGATTTATGAAGCTGACTTATTATTCTATACCTTGAGGGAATCCAGTGTTCAATAATAAGAAGTATAAACAACTCAAATTGAAAATATCAAAATTAATGTATTATTTCTCTTCAGCAAATAATTATCATGTCAGACTGATGGCATTTGTCCTCTAAGTTGAGACATTTTGTCTGGCCTAGAGGAAATCTGAAGGCACCCTAGCTCTTCAGGATCAATCTAATATGCTGAATTGGAACAACATCATCAGGATCATATGATAGTTTCTCTTTTGATTATTGATCCCAAGTATTTATTTAAATATGCATGTTATTTGCATGATTTCATTTAGTCTTGCGTGGCCTTTTTCTGGGGGGGGGGGGAGTGAACTGTCTTGCAAGATTCAGTGAGAAGCAACATTTTTTAAAAAAATACCTATGTGAAATTATTAGCCATTATGATATTAGGGACCCTTTAGGGACTATACTTCACTTGTGGATTTTGCATAGCATTTCACCCTAATTGCAAAAATAACAAAGAAACAAAAATTTGAAACCCTACAACAATCTGAGTCGCACAAACAGTGAATTTTAATTTCTTCAGACCCCAGCCAGACTACCTAAGATATATAGATGTTTCATCTGCAAAGCAGAAATATTCTCTCCCCACCCCACCCCACCCCCAAGATATACAGATTTGACTTATTTAAATCTGTGAATCATACTAGATTAATTTTGTATGGGTGCGTTAGGAAAAAATAGTTTGACTTCTGCCTCTTCCCATTTTTTTCTCAGTGTCAGTAACTATGCCTGTTGATAGAGCAGATGTTTGCCAGCAACATTATTATTCATTCAAGATGTTTTAGTATCAAGAAATACTTGTCTCCCACATTAGGAATTATTTTTATAAAGTGCATTTTGTTCATATATTTCACTCCAAAGAAGCTACCAACAGCCTTTATAAACTGGTCATATTAGAGCCTTATCAGATAGTGCTTAAGTCCACTAAGTGCTAGTGTTTTAGAAAAAAAATGTTAAAACATCAAAATATTAATATTAAAAGCATTTAAAATATTAATATCTAGAATTAATCTTTTACATCTGCCCTTGGGAAAAAGTGCAGACCAGAGTTATCAACTGCCCCTCCTAGTAAGTGAAAAATCTTCCATCGTGCCTCTGAATTTAACCAGAACTTCCATTGCTTTTTAGATTTCAACCTTGCAATCAAACACCCTCATTCGGAAAGTGAAGCGGACCCTGCCTAGCCCCCCACCAGAAGAAGCTCAGCTTCCTCTGACCAGCCAAGCCCACTCACAGATGTACATGCCTGGCTTCATGCCAAAGGGTATTGGCGGGCAGCCCATCCAAGTGACCAAAGCCAGCCTCCTTAGAGAACTCGACCGGGACTTGAAGCTGGTAGAGCACGAATCCACAAAACTGAGAAAGAAACAAGCCGAGCTGGATGAAGAAGAGAAAGAGATTGATGCCAAGCTGAAGTACCTGGAATTGGGGATCAACCAGAGAAAAGAATCTTTGCTGAAGGATCGGAATGTTGGCGATTATCGATATTTGAGATGCTTGGGAGAGAATCGAGATTATATGTCCGACAGCGAACTAAATAACCTTCGCCTCTCTGGTTATGAGAGTGGAAGTCTCCTGACAAGGCCCATCGCCACCCCTTCTAACCAATATGCAGAATTTTCCAGCACCCAGTATACTTCAGCAACTTCCTACACCCCGTACCAGTACTCCTCAGTTCAGACCGCTGCACCAGGCCCAGCTACATTCCAGCAAACAAGATTTCAACCTCCATACTATCCTCCAGCAAGCAGCGGTCCTACTCAAAATGATTTCCAGCCAAGCCAGATGCCTGCTTACCCTTCCCAAACTACATACCAGGCACATAGCTTCACCCCAAGTACTGGGTATCAGTCTGAACTGGGCCTACAGAGCCACCAAGGCTTCTGCCCACCTTACCAAGTTCAGACCGCTTATCCCAGTCAGACACCCTTGCAACCTGCCCAGGGTGCTCTTCTTCAGACTCATGCAGACACCCACACAACCTCCCAGAAGCCGAGACAGACCACACTGGCTGACTTAGAGCAGAAGATCCTGACCAATTATGAAGTCATTAGCAATCCCACTGTGGTGATCTCTGCTGCAACTCCAGAAGTGATCTACAGCACCGCAACAGTGACCAGCAGTTACGATCAACACAAAGCCCCAGAAGGGAGGCCAGGAGATAGGAGCAGTGTTGCACAAAGTCCCTCTAAGGGCTATTCCTCGGACTCTCTATACACCAATCTAGAGCAAAATATTCCTCGGAACTATGTGATGATTGATGATATCAGTGAATTAACCAAAGAGAGCAGCACAGGAGAGGGTCAGAAAGGGGATTTGCCATCACACAGCAGCAATGGACTGCCTATCAAAGAAAAGAGGGAGGTTGCAGATGTAGATGTGTCTGGCAGGCCTTGTTGCTATTCAAAAGGAGAAGAGGAGTCTGAAGAGGATATTTATGATCATCATGGTCCTGACCATCGGGGGAAAAGCTATCCTAAAAGCACAGAGAGCAATGGGAGAGTATCAGGTAGTTCGTATTACTATGGAGACAGTGATTATAGGCCATCTTCTCGTCCAGACAAGCATGGAGCAAGTATGGGAGTACAAAAACACTCTTCAAAAAATCTGGCCCCTGCTGTCATCTCTTCCAAGCGCAGCAAGCATAGGAAACAAGGTATGGAGCAGAAGATCTCCAAATTCTCCCCTATAGAAGAAGCCAAAGATGTAGAATCAGATCTGGCCTCCTATACAGCGACTACATCAGTCAGTAGCAGCAGTGTAGCATCCAGAGCAAGGAAAATGCAAGATGATATCACTTATGGCCTAAAGAAAAATGTATATGAACAGCAGAAATATTATAGTGTATCCAACAGAGATGGGATGGAAGAAGATGATAGAGCATATAGTGGTGGGCGATCAAGATCCTCTGGATATGTGTCAGAAAAACTGTCAAGTCGTGAAATTAGAAGCAGATCTTATGAAAGAGAGAGCATGGAGAGGCCTCAGAAAGGAAGCTCCAAGCCTTCCTCCCTTAGTATGAGTCAGAGTCGTGGGCGACCTCCAATTCGCACGCAAACCTCAGAAGAAGAAAGTCCTATCAGTCCCTTAGGGAAATCCATGGGCGTATCGCGATCCTCAGGTGGACCTCTTCCTCAGTCTGCTGGAGATACTTGCTCCCAGTTTTGCTCTAGTCACTCATTGCCTGATGTACAAGAACATATTAAAGATGTGCCAAGAACCCACTCTTACAAACACGAAGAAGGCTACATCATGGACGATTCACACTGTGTTGTTTCAGACAGTGAAGGTAATAACTACCTGTAGTGACTTATCTCCCAGCATGCCCAAGCGGGTCATATTTGCAAAGAAAATGCCACAAATTCCATTTGCTTGCCATGTGCCTTTATCATGATTTCACTTTCTGTTTTATGTTAGCATGTTGCACATTGCATGTCCTAATGTTGTTCACTGCTTGTTCAGTGTGTTTCTGTGCTGAGGTTTCTGTTTTTATATTTCCTGAGTGGCTGCCATGACATACCCTGTATTCCTGTGATAAGCTTCTTCTCTATTTCATTGCATGGCTTCCATCAGAATACATTCCTAGCTTTGGATCAGGAGATTCACTGTGATCTTTTTTGGTTTCTGAAGCCTACCACTTGGGCCAAGAGGAGACGGACTGGTTTGACAAACCAAGAGAACCTCGTTCAGAGAGGATGAGGCATTACGGTGGCCATTCCTCATCCTCTCAGAAGAGAGGTCCAGTTAAACACACCTATCATGATTATGATGAGCCCCCAGATGAAGACTTGTGGCATCATGATGACTATTCCCACCCACGTCACTCTTCCTCCAAAGATCACAGGCACCATGGAGATTATGGGCGACATTCATCTTCCTCCCGCCACTCCACTGATGACCTACCCAAGAGATCATCCAGGCAACACCCAAGAGAACCAAGCCGCCATGAGTCACATGGACGTGGACATGGGCAGCCCATTTCCCAGAAGAAGGCTCAGCAACCAGATACAAGAACACAGCAAGGTTATCCTCCCAGCTCCTCGGAGTATCCTCAACAGTCCCGACAGTCGTCTGGCTATCATCATACCTCAGAGCCCCAAAAATCCCAGAGGCAGATGCAACATGGGCTGCCATCTCAGCAGCCAAAATCTGAGCCTCTGTCTCACCAACAGCAGCAGCAGCAGCAGCAGCAAAAGCAGCAGCAGCAGCCGCAGCAGCAGCAGCAGCAGCCGCAGCAGCAGCAGCAGCAGCAGCCCAGGCAACAGCAAGTTGGGCAGCAGCAACCATCATCTCGGCAGCAGCAACCACCAGGCAGACAACCTCAGCAGCAGCATCAAGCAGGTCCTTCTCATCAACAGCCACAGCAGGTTCGGATGCAGCAGCAACAACCACAACAACAGCAACAGCCACCACTGGGAACCCAAGCCCAACCATCCTTACGGCCAGCCCAACAGCAGCCTGGTCAGCCTCAGCCATCAGGCAAACCGCAGCCAACTGCCCAAGCACAACCTAGCGCTCACCAAGCAGGACCAGTGAGTACCACTTCAATTTTCTTGAAGGAGCGATGGTTGATCATTCCATCATTGCTAACTGCCTGTTGTCTCGCCCTTCATTAAGGTGTGAATGATCTGTTCTAGGGTAGCAAATGTGTTCATTCATCTCACTATCCCACACACAAAAACCAAATGGAATAAATATGTATTCATGGAACACATGAATCATTCTACAGTCTAGATGAATATATTATATGCAGGTAAGTTGTCTTGGTGGATGGATTGCAAGAGTTAATCATGGTATCAGAGGTTATAGAGGAAACATTCTGTTCAGCAACATGTTGGAGAGAAGTAAAAAAAAAATTAAATGGGGGGGAATAGAATAATTATGGGGGTAGGCCAGCTCCCTAGATTTCTGAAGGAGGCTTAATTTGTAGTCAAAGGTCAGGAGATGTAAGGGACTGAGAGAATAAACATGGGAGATAGGAAGAAGAGCTGGGGCAATAGTCAGACAAGCTCTATCCACAGAAGGAATGGGGATGGACAAAGTATCTCAGAAGGGATCCTCCATTATTCTCTGGGAAGTAAGGACAAGGGAGGGGAAAGATTCTGTTACCTTAACCTTATAATAAAGGTATTATTACGGTGGTAATGATTGTTTTGGTTTCCTGCCTGGATTACCTCAGAGGGCTGACAGGACAGTAGAGCCCACAGCCACAGGGCAGCTTTCAGCAATTCCAAGTTTGGGGGTTGAGTCCCCAAAGGACGCCAAAGATTTAATTTTTAATTTGACAGGTTAGAATATTTAAATACACAGAGGATGATCATATTTAATTATATTCAGCTAAGTAATTTTAATATTTACATCGTATTTATTTCTTGACCCAGACTTGTTTGATCCTGCCCTCCGCTATTTTGAAATGTGGTTTCTAGTTTGCCACCCGTTGGTCTAAAATGAGCCCCATCTGAAAACAGTTACTCTTTTCTGTCATTGAGTCTAGAATTAAAGAAATTTAGAAACATTGGAGAGAAGGGGATCTATGGAGAATTAGAATGAGTAAAGGGCCAATTAGAAATAACAAAGATGAGTCAGCTTTTTAAAATTATGGCATCAAAGCTGCTAGGTATGTTTTCAGCAGATGGGTTTTATATTAAGATAAGTTTTCTCTAACATGCATTGCTATCCCCCAAATCAGAGACGGGGGGGGGGGGAGTCTTTCTTAAACCAACAAATGAAACTTCTGTTTCCCATTATAGGCTAAAGCAGAACAGCCAGATGTATCCAAGCCTACCACAAAAGTGCCACAGGTGGGGAAAGCACCCCAGACACAACCGCAGGGGACAACTGGAGGTCAGTAAGCAGCTTCTCAACTAGGCAGCTGTTTTTAGCACCTAGTATTGTGTGCATTTCACTAGGGCAGGGGTCTGCAACCTTAAACACTCAAAGAACCATTTGGACCTGTTTCCTACAGAAAAGAAAACACCGGGAGCCACAAAACCCTTCCCGTGCCTGACTATTTCTTGAGCGGCCACAAAACTAGCATATATAGTTGAATTAAACGTTCTGTTTTCTTCTGAAACTTTTCTTTTCTTGGATTTATCCATGGTTGATTTACCGGGGGTTGAAAAGCTCAATAAATCGCGTCCCGGCAGGTTTCGCACATTGGCAGTTGTGACGCAAATTTTGAGTGACGGAGCCGCAGCAGAGGAGTGAAAGCGCCACATGCGGCTCCAGAGCCGCAGGTTGCTGAACCCTGCACTAGGGAATGCTAGCGGAGTTAATTTTCCAAGGAAAGATTCCACTTGCTTTTTCAAAATGAGTTCCAAAATGATCACATGACACCCTAGGCAAGATCAAGAAGAGAAAAGCTTGGCCACGGTTGGCCTCAAAATATGTGCCAATTAGTATAGAATTAATTCACAGGAGACTAGAATTGTGTAAATCATGGTAAAGGTGTCACAAGTAGAATACCTAAAAGAAGCCTTCTTAGTGTCTTCTTCCTGTGAACAAAGAGGCTGGAGCATCTCAACCTGATTAAAATCTGATAATAAATTGCTTGCTCTTTACTTAGCTCAGCTTAAAATACTACTTAATTGAGAAATGCATATCGATAACTTCCAGTTACTTTATGTGCCTGAAAAAAATGGCCCTTCCTACAGAGGGTCAGTAATTGGGCAGATAAGACATAAGTTTCTTTTGACTTGTCCTCATACTTTGCAACCCATTTCATTGAGAATTCAGATTGGAACTTATATTTTTATTTTCAGAAAGGCTATCAAGGTGCATATATTCATGTTAGCCTTTTTTATTTTATTTATCAAATTTATTGATCACCCAAAATAACTCTGGGCGGCTTTTGAACTGCTTAAATCAGGGATGTCCAACATTGGCAACTGTAAGACATGGCTGGCTGGGGAATACTGGAAGTTGAAATCCACAGGTCTTAAAATTTGAAAAATTGGAAACCTCTGATTTACTGAATATTTAGCTGTTATGTTTTTCTATTATGTTAAATTTATTTTAGTTGGGCATTAGGTTCTTTTGTATTTTCTTTTATTTCTGGTCACTGAGACAGAGGTGGGTTTCAGCAAATTCTGACCAGTTCTGGAGAACCGGTACCAGAAATTTTGAGTAGTTCAGAGAAATTTTGAATAAATTTTGAGTAAAAATTCTGACTGGCCCCGCCCCCATCTATTCTCTGCCTCTCGAATCCCAGCTGATCAGGAGGAAATGGGGATTTTACAGTATCCTTTCCCTGGATTGGGGTGGGAATGGAGATTTTACAGTATCCTTCCCCTGCCACACCCACCAAGCCACGCCCACCAAGCCACACCAGGCCCACCAAGCCACACCCACAGAACCGGTAGTAAAAAATTTTGAAACCCACCACTGCACTGAGAGTACCATTTTCTGTATGGAAAGATTGGATATAAACATTCTAAACAAATGAATGCTTGCCACTACATTTTTTTTTCTTGCAAGACTGGTTATATTTCATTAGTGAGTAAAGATAATTAATTTTTTTATGAACTGCTTCCTGGTGGTATTGTAGGACATACATTTCATTGAATTCATACATATTAATTTATTTCATCATCACTTTCTCTCATAGGCATTAAATTGGGCCCCAAACCAACAGGCGCATCCTTATCTACAGGAGCAGCAGCTGGACAGCCAGGAACAGAGGGTGAAAGTGTCTTATCCAAAATCCTGCCAGGAGGGGCAGCAGAACAAGCAGGCAAATTGACAGAAGGTGGGAATTCTGAGTCACAATATTTTCAAGTGTTCACTTTTCAGATAATTGTCAGATGATTGTGATTCAAATGATCTGTCCTGCTGCTCTGTCTGTTAGCAGTCAAAATGGTTATAACCTCAGAAACCATACACCAAGGGTCTTCAAACTATAGCCCACGGGCTGCATACAGCCCATCGAAACCATTAATCCGGCTCGTGCAGGACTATGAGGCTGCCCCACCCACATCGCCCCACCCATCCATCGGCCCCCACCCTTCAGCCAAGCACAGGACTTACCTTCGCGAGCCCCGCAGGCTGGAACTGGAAGGTAAGGCCAACATCTTTCGCCAGCAGAGTGTTTCTGGAGGCGGGGGAGGTGAAAAACGGGCCGTGTGGACGCCGCGGGAGGCCAAAAACGGGCCCATTTTTGGCCTCCCCGGTCTCCAGTAGCACTCTGCAGGCCAAAAAGGGGTGCATGGAGGCCTCCCGAGACATCCGCGTGCCCTGTTTTTTACCTCCCCCGCCTCCAAAAGAGAGAGAGAGAGAGATAGACACAGAGAGAAAGAGAGACAGAAAGGTAGAGAGAGAGAGAGAGATAGACACAGAGAGAAAGAGAGACAGAAAGGTAGATAGACACAGAGAGAGAGAGAGAGAGAAAAAGACAGACAAGACACAGAGAGAGACAGAGAGAGAAAGAAGAGACACAAAGAGAGTGGGGGAGGGAGAGAGGGAGAGAGACCTGTTGATTGTAAGCTCCTCGGGGCTGAGAAGAATTGCTGCAAAACTGAGTTTCCTGAAGTGGACCACTAGACTCCTAAACAACTGAAAAAACGATCTAGTAAAAAGAAAAGTCAACCAAAAGAGCAACATGCAAACAAAAGCAAATAAAACACCCTCAGGAGCAAAACAAATTAAAGTTTAATTTATGTGCCTTGTTTAAAGGACTGCTAAATTGGCCACGTCCACTTAGTCACATGACCACATAGCCACGCCCACCCAGCCAGCTCAGCCCCCCCAACAGACTGAGACTATGAATTGGCCCCCTGCCGTGAATTGAGGACCCCTTCCATACATTGTTTGGGGACAGGATTTTAGGACCAGAACAGGACCATCACTTACCTTTTTTTGGGGAAATCTTACTCAGTGGCCAATCACCAAGAATGGTCTATCACTCTCTGTTACAAATGCTAGTGACTTCTGGGTAGCAACACCTTGTTGTTTAATTCTCCCCCAAAAGTGTATCATTTGTGTCATTTATTTTGTTTGTACAACCTTTTATGTCCTATTTTCTTAGTCTTGTGGTGCTTCCAATCAAACAAAGTAAGTACAATTCAAAGAAAGCACCTTAAAAGATATGGAAAAAGAATCACTCCAGCCCAACATTCCTGGTTAACTAAAGGAAGTTCTTTTATCCACCATAATACTGGCACTTCCTGCAAAATAACTACCCTTTCAGAGCTTTCCTGGAGGCCCAGAGGAAACAAGGCACTTCAGAGCATGGAGATTGCTACTGAGAAGGAGCATCACGTGAGCTTGAGAAGAGCTATTTCCATTCAACAGGCTAATTCCACCAGAATTTTTGTTTCATTAATTGTTTTTACTGAGTGTTGAATCTATTATATTTTTATTGCACTGATATTACTATAAACTGCCCTTCCTGTGCTTTATGAATGCCAACAGGTCATGCATAAATATTTTAGAGAAAAAAAAACCCTGAAGATCTGGTTAAAAGAATATAGAGCTTCAGACTCAACCTTATACTGTATCAGATGGTTTTACGCACTGATTTGTCTTTCCTTTACTCCAACAGCCGTATCAGCTTTTGGCAAGAAATTCACATCGTTTTGGTGAGAGTACAATATTCGGTGAGTCATACTGGGTCCTCCATGCACCATCCTCAATGTCCTTATCCGTAACTACCAGGGCCATGTCAACGTGCTGAAATGCCAGAACCCAGAAATTTCTTATTTATTACTTGAAATAATTCTGTTCCCATCAGGGACCTTAAATTGACATGAGACCTGAAGCAGGTCATCCTATTGCTGCTTAATCTGAGTATCCCTTTATTTTCCTTTCTGTTTTCCTTTCTTTCTTTTTTTTAAGTTCCTTTCTGTTTACCAACAGCTGTTTCTTTTTCTTGTTCGTCTCATCATTGATTCAACAGGCATTTGGGGAAATAAGTGAAATCTCATCCTTGCACTGGAAAAATCTATGAAGAATCCATTGGAATTCATTTGCCGCTCTGAACTCTGGGTATAATAGTGAGTATCATCTGTTTGCCTCCATTTCCACATCTGCCACGATGTATCAGGAGTAGAAATGTGATCAATAGTTGACTTTCATCAAAAGTGACTGAGAGACAATTCCTAGGAGATAAAATCCTGAAGGTTGGTGGTGGTGGTTTTTAACCCAATGATATGATTTCCATCTTAGATGAAGGTAACAGGTAACAGTAACAGAGTTGGAAGCGACCTTGGAGGTCATCTAGTCCAACCCCTGCTCACGCAGGAGACTATACTAGGGATTCGAATTGCTGAACTGCCGACCTTTCTGATCGACAAGCTCAGTGTCTTAGCTACTGAGCCATCTAGCCAGGCTAATTTGCCTGTGTTAAATAGGTTAATTGGGTGCTGCACAACATTAACAGAAATGACCACAGAACTCTAATAGTACATATCAGGTCTGTGCAGATTTTATTGTGTGTATTGAGCCCTAGAATCAGATTGTATGAAATGGAAGGGGCCTTATCTCTGCCACAGCACCTGCCCTCTGGGACAACATCCAAAGTTCATATTGCCCTGTCCTTCCTGCCTTTAAATGAGCCTTGGCTTTCCCCCCAGGCCTTGGCTTGGTTCATTGTTGGGCTTCTTTAGGTTGGAAGACAGTTCTTATTGTTCCTCTGGGAAACAATTATTCTTGCCTGATTCTGTAATATTTCTTGCCTTTTTTAATTTGTGAGATACCAAGCGTCATTCTGGAGTTAGGCATCTCAAGAAAGGTGTTTTACAAATACATAAAAGAAATAAATCAAGAGTTTTTCTACATTGCAGCTTTAAGGTATTGACAAGCTGGAAATGAAGCCAGTTCAAGAAATCTCTCAGATGTCCACCCCTTCCTCCTTTCTGTCTACTCAGTTGACTTGCAATTCTGTCTGGACCAATTCCTGATTGGTCAGTTCCCCTGCTCCTCTTGCAATTTCCTGAAAGGAAAAGGAAATGGTTTTGTACGTTGCTGAATTGAGTTCTACCAAGAAAGCAACATGGAAATCTAATAAACTATTCTTATTTTGAAAAACTAGAAAGATACATGACCAACGATGATCACAGAGGTAGTTCTCGCTTAACAACCACAATTGGAACCAGTATTTCTATTGCTAAGCGTTAAGTATTATATCACTTGACCATACTAACTTATGACATCAGTTCTGGCTGTGGTCATTAAGTGAATCACTGCTAGTTGTTAAGCACAACATCCCATGACTGCAACTTGCAGCTTCCTGATGGCTTCCCCATTGATTTGCTTATCAGAATCTCTCTGTGAAGGTTGAAAATGATTATAGTGGGACTATGGGATGTTGTGACCATCGTAAGTGCATGCCGATTGCCAAGCACCCGAATTGCAATCACATGACTGCAGAGATGCTACAATGGCTAACATTGTAGATCACATTGTAGGAGTCTGGTTTTTGTCTGTTTGAAACAGCTCACTAAAAGGACTACACATATTTAATTGGGGAGGGGAGAACGAATTTATCCCTGTTGATAATAGCTTTTTTACACTTCTTGCTTCAGTATACAGAATGAAATATGAACTGACTATACATCCAGGTTGGAGCAAAGAGGTGAGATGGAAAAGATGTGGTCTCTTTGGGAAAACATGCTTTCATGTATATTGTCCTGGGTGCTCCAGTATATGAAAGGATTGCATCTCAAATAGAAGCAACTAATTTAATTAGTACTCAATTGTTCAGTTTTGACTGATTACCATTTCTAGCTGTTTCAACCTTTACCTTCACTTTGTACAACCACAACATTCCACGACAACACGATACAATGTATTCGTACTTCTGCAATTAATGTCCCAGATATTGTCCAATAGCTCTGGAGGGTACGAAGATGCGGAAGATTGGATGAGCTCCTCCACTGATTGGGTTATTATTCACTCGTCATTACATATAAAAGATGCATCGTGTAGCTTTTTCAGTAGGTATTCTTGGGGACTCTGTTCCCCCAATTCTTGAAATATTATAAATTTATTTCTGTGATTTTTTTTTTTTTTTTTTGTCTTATCAAGCTTTCGAAACCATGGAAAACCACTAGGTTCAGAGGACGAAACAGAAGAGCTATTCATACAGTTTTATCCCTGTGGATGTCATAAGATGCTCTTTGAAGACGCCTGAGCCAACTGTTGGCCACAAAGGACTTTCAAAGCCACTGTTGTCAATCCGTGTTCTGCAAGCCTCAAGGGTTGAAAGCAGTTTCTTAGACTGAGAAGATGTACGTAAGAAGGTGCAATTAGAGAAGAGGGGCTTGTCACACAGGCATGCCACTTTTCTGTCGCTTGAGATGTTTGGGACTCCAGAAACTACCTATGACTGTAGTTCCATTTGTGCCTAGCATCTGATTTTGGGAACCATGGCCTTCTCTTAGGATTATACACAAAGTTACTGAATTTTAACTCTAGTTCTTCATAGGTTTTTCCCATTCTTCAAAATGTGCTTGAACTGAGGGCTGGGAGCTGGATGCTCCATTCTCCTTCACATTCCAGTTTGCCCCATCAACCCCCATCCCCTCCAGTGTTTGTTCCCTCTCATCATCCCTGCAATGGAAAGTCTGGGACGAAGGGAACTCTGACTAGGACCTAACACTGTTTCACTACTGAGTTAAGAGGCCATAGGACTGAAAGGCAGTGCAAACTGGCTGACTATTGACTGACACAAATGCTGGCCAGGCATGTCTTATCAGCCACCCAAAGCCATCCTGAAGCCATTCTAAAGCATTCAAATGGCAGTGCTTTTCATTGTTAATGTTGTGCATTGTTTTATGTATGCCTGGGATTTTTTTTTTTTAAAAAAAAACAGCCTTAATCATTCCACTTTTATTTACATGTATACCTCATTGGTGCCCAGAAACTGGGGGCTTGGTTTATTATTTTTTGTGAGGTTCCTTTTATGTTTTTTCTTTTCTTTTCTTTTCTTTTGCATAGTATCATATGTCATTAATCTCTTAACTTTGTACTGAGTTAGCATCTGGGCTGTTGTCGGCAGAAGCAATAGAGTGCAGAAGGCTATCAAGAGCACAATCCAGTGTGATGAGAAGAGCTTGCCTCTGCCATCCTCCTTTATCCTACTGTGCAATTCAAGTCCTTCTTAAGCCATTATTGGTGGGCATGCTCAGAAAGATGGAGGAGCTACTTGGAACAGCGTGTTGATAAACCTGCCCGCTTGGAGCTCTTTGCACTGTAAATGGCAAGAGCCGAAAGAACACCCTGTGAAACAGCTCCTTTGGTGGTGGTTGTTTTTTTGTTTTTTTTACTTTTTTTGTTGTTGTAAAAAAAAAAATCCAGTAAATGTACAGATGCTCCAGTTCCCATTTGTCTGTGCTGTTTCCTGCCCGTCTTTCATCCACGCTGAGCATGTTCAAGAACAACAATTCATTGGTGTGACCCATAGGAGCTTCCATTCACCATGGGTAACAGCAAAATGATTCTCATGTCTAATGTTCTATGCAATGAAATTACAAAATTTTAAAGACAACTGTTAATATTTAATAAGTTCAATGTTATGTATAAGGATTTAATTGCAAACGTGCTATCAAGAACCTGGATAGATATCTTTATATCGAACACCTGTGTGTATGAAGTTTCCAATTAGTGGCATGCTTGACCCGTTCAAGGGACACTTTTGCCAAAGGGTAGCCATAGAGCCAGTGACTGTCTCTGTCTGTAGTAGAGCATGGCTTGCTACTTCTCTGCACGGTTTCATCTACTTAGAATGCTTGCCGTTTGTTCTTTGCTTGAAATTCTTTTTTTTTTCTTCCAGTTGGTTCATCTTCTTTACTGAATGCCATTACAGATTTATGCACTTGTTATTGAAGCCCTATCGATGACACCATGAAGAGTAATTATTCCACAGAACGTTACACTAGATTTTCTATATTTAATTGCACTCACTCTAGGCCCCTTGACACGTCCTCTCCTGCAACTGCCTAGGGTCTACTTTTAGGGGCTTCTTGGCATGGTCCAAACCTAATGCACATTCCTCCTGACCAAAATGTAAATGAAAATCCTATCTAAGTATTCAAGAATTGCAGCCTAGAAAAGTATCCCAAGAATGAAATATATTTACAAACATAGCAAGGGAGACTGAACAGATCTGTCATTAATTAACACATCAATTCCTCTTTTCTGCCTTCTGAACTTGGAGAGCAAAGGTGCAACTAATGACTGTTAATACATATAGAACTACTCAACCTACCTTTCTGAAATTCTGAAAATGTGGAAGCAGAGAACCACCAGGTGGTTAGTTCAAAACTGGAGTAAATGGAGTGCCAAATCTGAAGCAATCCCACGTTTCCACCAAGCCCTTAATGCATTGATAGCAAAGCTATTTTCTCCCTGTAGGACTTGATTGAAAGCCAGAATACCACACAAAAACTGGAACAAAAATATATACCTTTTTATATTGAGAAAAATGGAGTGGGGCAAGAGAAAGCTAATATATATTTTACAAGTTAGATTCTTCAAAATGTGGAAAGTTTATAATCTTTTGATACAGAAAATATAGTTTGTGTTCCTGTTTGGCAATGCACTTGACAAGGATGCTACAGGTCCTGAATGTCACCTCTGTATAATGCTACAAATACATCAATAAGCTCTGAATCACACTGTGCATGAAGGCAATTTTTTCAGGAGTACTGCTGACATGTATATTTTAGAAATATCTTTTTCCCACAGAGATTGAAATAAGATTTAGTAAAGGGAGATAGTAGGCCAATGAGTAATTTCATGTTAGCCATAGTGATACCATCCAGGTATCATATTTGCACAATCAACAGTTGATTCCAGCTGCTTGACTAAAATTCCTATCTAATACAAATATATGTGAGAATATGTTTCATATACTCATGTGTTGCCTTTGCTTGCACTTAAAACACCTTAGTTGTACACTAAAAAAAGTATATGATGTGATCCTTAGGTAAGTGTGTGTTATTCTAAAAAAGCCTTATTATTCTAAGACTGATTTGGACCACTGGCATATAAAGTGATATATCTCATCATTTAAAAGCACTAATTTGATATTTTGTAAGCAGCATTCTAACAAAAGTCTTCCATGGTTGCTACAAGCTCAAAGTATAGTCTCCGTATCCTGACTCTATATCTTAGAATATATATTCATTTCCCCATGATTCTGGTTTCTTAGGTTCATAGCTCTGTTGATTGAGGTGAAACAAGGCAGACTGAAAATCTTACCAGCTGCATGGACCATGAAAACAGTACAGTTGTATCAGATCTCTGTTACGGCAAGGATTCCGCCTTTAGTAGCCCTTTGTAAGGGCAAGTAGGAAGCTATATCTGTGGTTATTCAGTAGATACTGACCACAGAATTCAGCTTCTAAGTCAGGCTGCATACATATTGGCTGTATGACCCTTGGCAGTATCTCCTTTGCCTGTTCTGTCTGTAGTTTGAATGAGTGTGAAACCTGTAAAGTTAAGCTAGTCATTTCCTAAGAGGCAGGACTTGGTGGAAAAACTCCTTGGCTCTGTGTTGCTCCACAATTTTACTTATAATCAACCAATTGCTTATGTTTGCACAGTAACAATGTGCAATAACATAACCACATGCCTTTCATAATGCACTAAGTTAAAAGGTAGTTGACTAGTTTGTTTAGTGTCACATGCAGCATTTAAAACTATGGGGTCCTTGGTGCTTTCTGAATTTGGTGCACCAATGTTACCTAGTTTGGTAATGAAATGTTTGCAAGGAAATAACCAAACTCAGAGAGCACCAAGGAACCCACAGTTCCACCTGAGCTACAATATTTTTTTCTATCAGTAGCCTTTAAAACTCTCCATCTGCAGAAGTCCTTTTACCAGAGGAATTAACCCATTGTATTTAATGTGAATTCCTGCACAGGTCATTTGATTTTGTAGTTGGTTAGACCTAGGAAAACAAAGGGTCAATTTTTACATTTAATTGTGTTTCAGTAAATTTCCAGCATTGCTGAATTGGTCATTTTTCTAGCAAAAATACAAGATTTAGACAAGAAGCTTATATTTTGTTCTACTGCAGTAAAAAAAAAAAATTAGCTCAGGAAAGCATTAAATGAATTCCATGGAATGCACACTTGCCTTGGTGCAGAGTTTTCACCTCAAACATCTAGTTTAATACCAGTGCTTCATTCTAGGCTTGCAGTAAGTGCAAAATTATCTGAATATTTGAATTGTTTTAATAATGGGCAGGCTGGAAATCATTTCTAACAGAACAGGAGGATTAAAACTAATATTCCTAGTAGAACTTCCTCATGTGTGGTTTACCTATAGAGTTTATTTAACATATGGGTACATCATCATCTTTTCAGGATAAATGTAATACATTTTGGGAAGTTATTTCAACTAGAATGGCAAACTGAAGCAGTGAGACTCCCACCATTCATTCATTCACTCACTCACTCACTCACTCACTGAATACTGAGAAGAGGGATTTGGTTCCAAATGTAGAGACCAAGCTATCTGGTAAGGACAAGCATGTTTTTTCACCCAGTTTCTTTCCAGCCACCCAGCCACTCTTTTTCTTAGTCTCCCAGCAATGACAAGTGCATAATCTGAGGATGCTTCTTCAGAACTCTAGACTGAATTTGTGTTCCCTATTGGTTTTCTCAACAGTGGCTGCTACAATCTCCCTTGACCCCTTCCATTGTAAATACCTGTACAGTGTGTAAAATAAAAGTCTCACATGGTATGAAGAAAAACAACAACTCCCCAAGAAAACAATCAACTCACAGCCCCCTTTTGTGGGGGCTCCATCTCAATGACCAGCACACCTGCCAACTCTTGCTTTTGTGTAGAAAAACAAAATCAACAAACAAAGCCTGATGTTTGTAATTAACTTTTCTGAACTGTTTTCCTTCTTGCAAAGCATAGCAGAGTCCCATAAAGCTGTTGTGGCTGTCACATGACATGTACCGTCCATGCTCTCCTCCTGCCTTCAGTTTTGAATTATTTTTCTTTTTTTTTCTTTTCTTTATTTTTTTGTATTATTTTGGAGGCGGCAGAGTTCTGTATAGAACCAACAACCCATCAAACAAAAGAAGAAGTTTACAGTTGTAAGTGCAATGACCTTTATCTGAACATTGTAAATGATGTGTGTGTCCTGCTGTGCTCTGTGAGAACTTGTAGTATTTCAGTGTAACACCTCATGTATTGTGATTCCGTATGGCAAGTTGCCCTACAAGGTATTTCTGTGGAAAACAGAATAAAAGAACTTGATATGATTTACAAGGTGCTTTAGCTTAATCTCTGACTCCTAGAAACACCTGAACTTGAGGGACTGCCTTAGTAGAGTTTTCCTTAGTATGTGAGATCATTCAACCTCTTGGAGTCCCAAATGAGTTAACAGTAGCACCCAAAAATAATAAGTTAGAAAAGTCAAGCTTGAAAACACTAGTCATTGCATTCTAGCAAAATTGGCAGTAAACATTGCAGATGGTCAATCCAGATTGCCATGCCCAAATCAGATCAAAGTTCACACTAGCTACCAAAAAGAAAACCAAAGCCATCCAGACCACATTCCACCACCAGCAGGGAAGATACAGAAACACCAGTGGCTCAAAAAATCTCAAAAGGCTGTTTCATAATTCAAGTAGCAAAAAATTATGGTAGTTCTTGGATCATCATCATCAATTATACCAAAACAACCAAGGAGGATCCAAGGTATCATTTTATTTATTGGTTCAGCAAGTCACCAGACCTAAGAATCAAGAATACATATAGGTTAAAAAAAATTAAAATATTGAATACATATAAAATACAGTTAAGGAGATATATAGTCACTTGGATAGAATATAGGAAGTTACCTAGCAACAAGGGTAAAGCTAACAAATTCAGTGAGACTTCCATATTTTTAAATGACTAAGTACAAGCAAGGTTTTCATCTATAATCTGACTTCTTTGTTATGGTTGAGTTGTTAGGATGAGAATGTGCTATGACTGTCACTTGTCCTTGAGTTGTTAGGTCTCCTTGGTAACCTGATACTTCTTTCTAAATCAAAAGGGGTCCTTTTTTTGTTCTGTTTAGCACTACTTTATACAACTGTATGTGTTTGTGGTTGTTTTGAAGCCAAAATGTGCTAAGAAAGTAAATTATCCCTTATTGCCAAGGGATTTCTCTCAGATTGTGTTTTATTGCAAGTGTATCTGCTTTAAATGCTAGCAGCCCATATTGAAAACTAGTCTTCCTATCTTTATTATGGATATGATAGAAAACATAAAAGCATAACTAATATGCATCCATTCCTGTCAGGAAAAGGACAATGTTCATACAAATGGACCCCAAAAATTGTACTGTGCCAATATCAATGGACATTCTCCTATCTCTGAATTATACTTTCCCATAAATCCATATTATACTACAAGTATTATTAATTCATTAATGACACTGCTGTTTAATATGCATAGTTCTGAACTTGTTAATATTTGGGACAAATCTTGTAAGACAGAAAAAATATTTGGTACAGATCCAAATATCAATGGGATGGGATAGTTACCGATGGCAGCTGCATTTACAATAGTTACAATAGTCAAACCTTCACATTACCATAACGTATTCAATACATATGGATCAAATGAAAAGATTCCCTGAAATGAAGCTGGTAAAAACTTATTTGGCTTTTTACTGCATGCTAGACATTCAAGCTATTTGCATACCTGGATGCAACCCAAGGCTATGAATCAGAACAGCTATTAGCAAGATAAACACTGGTCTATTATATGGTGTTTCTAATTTGATTAGATGTTGAGATGCTCAGTATGCTTTTCACAAGCGCATACAGTGTCATTTAGCAGGAGATAAAGATGCCATTCTTTCCCAATTTACTCCCCTCAAAATGGGGCTCCCTACTTCATGTGAATCCTACCATTTTAGTCCATTTCTAAGAAGGAATAACAGAATGACATTTTATAATTCTGCAAGCAAAGTTTCATAGTGGTGTTATGGAGATGTTCTTGCTCTCCAGCTATTTAGGAGTAAATATGTGCAGCAGTTGCTGCATTGTATTTTCTTTGCCCAAAGACAGGCCTAGTGACAACAGACCTCCTAACAGCACCAAGGAGAATTAGCTCAACAACCAACTGGACAGTTACTCCCAGAAAAGTTCATTTAAATATGCTTCTCAACAACAATGTGATGAGCACTTCTTAATGATCTTCCTCTAAAAGTAACTGGAATGGGATCATACTAGAGAACATTCAGACATGTAGTCTGGCCACTAATACAGTGATTAGCGGGCCTGAAAGATCTCATTGGATCAACAATAGAAATGTCCCCTCTCCATTTCACAATGAAAACTGCCAGTCAGAACTACAAACATCATGTTCAAATGATGGGGAAGAAAGCCAGAGCACAGCCGATGGAACAGTAGGTTGCTTAAGCTATCAGTGGAAGTCAGCAATGGGAATCTGATGAAAAGGGAAAGTTTAAAACCATACAATACATGGCTGAGGAAAATAATAGGGAGGGAGAAGAAAGGGATAGAATTTCTGTAAATCCTTGTATTAAAACCACAATTAAACCAACCAAAAAAAAATCAAATCATTCTATTTTTGATTGATTGATTGATTTCACCATCCAACTCCAAAGGACTGTGGGCAGCTCTTAATATAAAAACAAAGTAACAAGTTACAATCAAAACAAAAATCCCTTTATATAATGTTATAATTATATAAGCAGGATCTATTTATATGATTTTAAGACAGGATCAGCAGTAAGTTGTTACTGAGTTATGATATGCTAAAATCACTTAAATGTTTGATGAGTTTTTGACTTTTTTTAGTATTTGAGTGCACTTGTACATGCGCCAAAATGAATCCATGCTGTTGAACCCCTTTTATTGTGTGGGATTTGGCACATATGCATCTACACCTGCATATAGAAGCACAAGCATGTCTTATCACAAACAAAGCCTCATGCATATTCATGGACAATATGGAGGAAGATGCCCAAGCAAGGCTCCTTCCAATAGGAAGCCTGCATGAATTTACAATGAGAAATGTCTTTTCTCAGATCTCCAATAAATCTCTTCCATCCCACTGAAATCTCTTACCCTTATGTGTTACTGTACCTGGATTTTTCTCACCCACCTCCATACGGATGCAGCTCCTACTCAGAGCCTGAACAAGACATCTGCCATCCAGGACTTTGCGTGGCTGTTCTACTGATTAGATTCAAGCCAGACACGCCATTCAGCATGTGTCACTTGTTGCCTCCAGCCACACTTTAAGAAGGCTAGTTCCTCATTAGATTTCACAGGGAGAAGCCTCTTGACCCCTGAGAGTTTGCTGGCTAGATCAGTGGAAAAGACACTCCCCAAAAGACCAATTTTGTCATCAACAGCCTCAAGCAAAGAGGAGATTCACGCCTGCTGATAGCCAACGTCATCTAGTGCCAGGTTCAAATTTAGAAAGAGTGGTTGGCAGATTAGTAGTTGCACAGCTTTCCTGTGGGAGTTGTGGGGCACATGCTATTCCCCGTTTTGTACTGGCACAGGAACATGTAAGCCTACACAGGCAGTGCTGGCGCACATTGAGGAAAGGAACCCTTTCTTTGCCAAGAGAGGTGCATTCTCTCCCCCATGGGGTCATGAAGCAATTCTTTCCAAGGTGACAGCCCAAAGTGAGGCACTTCCCATTGTGTAGAACAGTTTTTCTCAACCTCAGCAACGTTAAGAAGTCTGGACTTTAACTCCCAGAATTCCCCAACCAGAATGCTGGCTGGGGAATTCTGGGAGTTAAAGTCCACCTACCTGCTAAATTTGAGAAATGCCAGTTTAGAGGGTTTCCCTTCCTTCAGTGAAGAAGACAGTATTCCCTCTTCATGAACAGCTTCCAAGGACAGCTCTCCTTAGAAAGAAGAAACATTGTTTTCTATTATCTCTATGAAATTGGCTTACATACATCCTGCACCAGCCTTCTAAACCCATACTCTCAAAATATGTTGGGATAGCAATTCCTAAAGGCATTCTGCTTAGGAATTCTGGGAAATGCAGCTTCAACATATCCAGAAATAAAGAAGGTTGTTTTATCCAGTTTTAATCCTAAATTCTTAAAGGGTTGGGGCCCCATGACGTGCTACTATTTATTAAGCTCAATTATTTCCTTTGGAACTTTTAATGTTGTTTATTTAGCTCAGTCACTACCTTGGAATCTTTAATAAGTTCCTTTAGGCCCTTCCTTTGCTTGTTGATCACTTTCAGTCTCTCTGATAGGATCCCTTGGTACCTCTTTGTCAATCTCCAGTGCATGTGGCATTATCGGATAGAGCACATCAGTGAAAATTTGGGGTAGAGAAAGAACCAGTGGGACATTAAGTAGCTGAGATTCTCTTCAGTTCTATCCTTGTTAAGCATTTCAGGAGGAACTGGGGTAGTGGGACTAATGACCTTATGCTTTTCTCATGCCCCATTCTGAAAACAACCACAGTAAGGAATGACTCTCCATCTGCTAAACATCAGTAGGCTGCAATGAAAACAGTGCATGGTTTCATATACTGTACAAAGTTTATTTATTTATTTATTTATTTATTATTTAAATTTATATACTGCCCTTCTCCCGAAGGACTCAGGGCGGTGTACAGCCAAAAATAAAAACATAAAAATATAAAATTTAAAACAATTTAAAAGTATATTAAATAAATTTGGCCCATATTAATTAAAACACCCCTTTTTTAAAAAAAAACGAATTAAAAACAATTAAAAGAGCTACGCCAGCCTGGCTTGCTGGAATAGAAAAGTTTTGAGGGCACGGCGGAAGGTGCGTAGATCCGGGATCCTTCGTATCTCCGGGGGCAGCTCGTTCCAAAGGGCAGGTGCCCCCACAGAGAAGGCTCTCCCCCTGGGGGCCGCCAGTCGACATTGTTTGACCAATGGCACCCTGAGGAGCCCTTCTCTGTGGGAGCATACTGGCCAGTGGGAGGCTACCAGTGACAGAAGGCGGTCTCATAGATACTCAGGTCCTAAGCCATGGAGCACTCTAAAGATGGTAACCAATACCCTGAAGCGCACCCGGAAGACCACCGGGAGCCAGTGCAGTTCGTGCAGGAGAGGTGTTACATGGGAGCGCCACGTCGCTCCCACAATCACCCACGCGGCCGCATTCTGGACCAGTTGGAGCCTCCAGGTGCTCTTCAAGGGGAGCCCCATGTAGAGAGCATTACAGTAGTCCAGGCGGGAAGTGACAAGGGCATTAGTGACCATGTGTAAGGAGTCCCGATCCAGAAAGGGACGCAACTGGCGAATCAGGCGAACCTGGTAAAAAGCCCCCCTGGCCACAGCTGTCACATGTTCTTCTAAAGACAGCCGTGTATCCAGGAGGACGCCCAAGTTGCGAGCCCTCTCCGTGGTTTAACTATGATTTACAAAACAAACCACAATTGGCCCAAACCAATCAAACTACAGGTTTTAGTGTGTTACATTTAATGTTTACATTTTTTTTTGTTTAGCAGCAAGAATGATGAAGCAATTACATTTTAGTCTCCAACTAGAACATATCATGAAAGCTAAAGCAGTGTAAAATATCTGTACCATCACAGAAACTATAACCGCAGCATCCTAATTGTTGAAGCATGAGCCAAAGGACAGGGACATAGACACACAATAGACACCAAATTGGAAGAGGCTTTGACAAATAGCTTTCCATTTTTGATTAAGGAGAATTGCTAACACACTAAATAAGATGCTGAGCTAAGCTTCTACATTATCATCACCTGGTAACTATCTCCACGACATTTCGTTTGTCATTCCAAAGGGCTCTAGGAAATGCAAATAAGGCAAAATACCCAGAGCTGTGTACACTTTAAACCTAGTTTGAGGGGGAAAAAAATACTTTGGGCCTTTTCAAATGCAGCACCTCTGCGCCGAGGTGGTGCAGTGGTTAGAGTGCAGTACTGTAGGCTACTTCAACTGATTGCTAACTGCACTTCGGCAGTTCGATTCTCACCAGCTCAAGGTTGACTCAGCCTTCCATCCTTCCGAGGTGGGTAAAATGAGGACCCAGATTGTTGGGGGCAATAGACTGACTCTGTAAACCTCTTAGAGAGGGCTGTAAAAGCACTGTGAAGCGGTATAAGTGCTATTGCTATTAAAGCTGATGTTTTTTTTCCTTCAGATTCCCTTCATTAAAGCAGTCTCGTAACACTTTAAAAGAGGGCTCAAATGTCATGCAGAAAAGTAAAGTCTCAGCACCACCACTGAAGCAGCCATGTATTGGGAAAGTGAGTTGGGGGGGGGTGATTCTTTTTTTCATCCTGTAGTTCTAGAATGCAGAATACATCATGTGAAGCTGAAGGTGGGGAGGATTCTAGATAAGCAGCTCTTCAGTGTGTGTGAGGTTCATCTATGGAAGACAGCGTGCATGATGACAGGCAACTTGAACAGCTTTAATATCACTTAACTCTATATTATTTGAGCTTCACTATCAAAACCAATGTGTTTATTTCCATCTTAGATGTTACAGAAAAATTGGGGTGGGTAGGGAATCTGTGGTACTCGAGCCACAGTGGCCCAGTGGTTAGAATGCAGTACTGCAGGCTAATTCTGTTGACTGCAGGCTGCCAGCAGTTTGGCAGTTCGATTCTCAACGGCTCAAGGTTGACTCAGTCTTCCAGGTCGGTAAAACGAGAAGCATTATTGTTGAGGGGCAATATACTGATTATAAACCGCTTAGAGGGCTGTAAAGCACTGTGAAGCGATATATAAGTCTATATATAAGTCTATTGCTAAGTGCTATTTCCCAAGAATCACATTGGCCAGGAGTGACTGGGGCAGATGATGCCTTCCTTCAGATATGGAAGAGACTTCAGACTTCCTTCAGATATGGAAGAGACCATCTCGCTCCAGCCTGTCATACAGGGTTAAAAGATGAGCTGTGTACACCTTTCGGAAAACGGGCATTCCCCCCTTCCCATAGTGGTATCTTCCAAGCACTCCTCTCAATTACTGAAGCAGCCGCACCTTTTTTCCAAGGACGCGCAGCTCCTGAAGCCACGCCCAGCTCCCTCCCTAATCCTAACATTTCCCAAACGCTGTATTATTGGCACCTGACGTTTAAGTGGCTAAAGGTTTTTGCTGGCTTTCCATTAGAAAAAGACCCCGGCTTCGGGGTGGGGGGGAAAAGTAAGCCCCGCCCTTCCTCTGAGCGGATTGGGCAAAGGGCTCTAAATTTACGAGGCCTTGGATCCAAAGGCTGCGCGTCCCCGCCCAGCCGCCCCTCCGCCCGCCCTGGATGGGGCTGAACCGCATCTCCGGGTGGAGGAAAGATTGGCAGCTCCTCTCTACGGGCTGGCTGGCTCTATTTGACGGACAGGCCCGGAACCAATCATAACAAAGCAGCTCCAAAGGCGATGCTCCTCCTTCTCGAGGGGAATCGAACTGAAGCTTCCGCGACTTCTCGGGAATCGGGACGACGATCAGAGAGCCATGGAACCCCCGGTGAGGGATCGTCAGGGGCCGGACACGCGTGTCGGTGAACGGCGGGTGGGTAGGGCCTGTTGCACGGCGCTTCCCCAAAGGCCGTAGTGTGATGGTGGGGACGGCGTGAGTCGCTCTTTCCCTCCGCTTGGAGCGGGAGCGATGGAGGGGGCGGGAGGGCTGGCGTTCCTCTTCCCCTTTCTTTCCGTCTTATTCCTGGGAAAGGCTGCCTGGGTCCCTCTTCCAATACCTTCACATCACATAGCGCGAAGCTCAACAGGTGAACCCTCTCTATGCATGTCACAGGTAGAAAGAGGCTTTTTCCTCTATGGCTGCTTGCTGCGAGGAAGCTACCAACGGAGAGGGCGTCAGTTTATCTCCTTTTCCCTTGGAAAAAAAGTCTCTTCTCGTAGCCCTTAAACGGGATCTTTATCCTCAAAGGGATAAAAGATGTCAGGAGCTGAACTTACTTTGATTGTGCTGACGCCCGTCCTTATGAAGCGCTACTTTCATTGTTCATTGTTTGCAAAAAATTGTTCATTGTTCATTGTTTGCAGAAAATTGGGGGGGGGGATTGCTTGCTCCTCTTAGAGCAGCACCTGTGGCAACTGCCTCCAGGACCCACCTCCTGTTGCCAATTTTATGTATTTTAGTACTCCTGTACTAGTACTTAGTTTAAATTAGTAAAATTAGCTACTGTTAATTGTTTGTGCATTTAGGTGAAACCGTTTCCATCCAACAGTTGGTGAACTGCCTGAATGGCAATGAATGAGCTGAGGCGGGGCAGAGTTGGCAAGTAGCTTTGATCTGGCCAATTCACTCTGTTCATCCTCGCATCAGGGATTCAGTTCAGCAGTCCCGTCTGAATTCAGCCTGTACAAAAAGATAAAAGACAAGTGTATTCTATCTATAGCACTGATATAATTCTGCCCTTTATGGTGATAATTCCAGTGATTTGGGAAGGAATAAAGGTTAGGAACTCCTGATAGAATCGACGTCTTGCCCTGCAGAAGGTCAAAGTTTGTTATATCAAGAGACAATACTTCCCAGCTAGCTGGGTGCAAATTGCCATAGTGCTCCCAGCTCATGCATTTCCGGATCCCTGCTTTTCACACAGAAACAATTTTTATAACTTGACTTTGTGCCATCAAGTTGTTTTTGACTCCTAGCGATAGATATCCTCCATGGCAATCTATCCCTAACCTCTTCTTTCAGGACCGCCAAAGATGCAGTAATTGTCACTGTAATTGAGTCCATCCATCTTGCTTTTGCCATCTTCTTCCCTTCCACCTTTCCCAGCATTTGAGCCTTCTCCAGAAAGCTGGGTCTTTGCATAAAATGTGCAAAGTAGGATAATTTGAACCTGGTCATATGTACCTCAAGTGAGAACTCTGAGTTGATGTGTTCAGTGATCCATTGGCTTATTTTCTTGGTTGGCCATGTTATTCTCAGACGTCTTCAACACTAAAATTCAAATACCTCAATACTCTTCCAATCCTCCTCCTTCAAAGTCCAACTTTCACTTCCATAGAGCAGAGGTCTTCAAAGTTGGCAGCTTCAAAGTTAGCTCCCAGAATTCTGGGAGTTGAAGTCCACAAGTCTTAAAGCTGCCAACTTTGAAGACCTCTGCCATAGAATGTCACAGGGAATGGCTTCTGTGATTCTGGTCTTCGTAGATATGGATACATACCGCCATTTATGTTTTCTAAGGCTTTTGTGGCTGCTGTACCAAGCATTAGTCTGTGACATAATTCCTTCACTGGTTGATTGTTAACTTGAACAAATGGCTATGTCAGGGTTCCAAGTAACACCCCAACAAAAGAAGACTCTTTCCATTTTATTAGAGATTAGAGAAAAGATGAGTCCATCACAACTAATTACGGTCCTTTATTTCTTTATATCTGTAATGTATAGTTGCTGAATGATATAGAAGAAATAGCTGCTTTGTACCGTGATCTGAGCCAGTATCCTTCGCTTTCCCATGCTTGTATTGGGCCTGAAGTAACAACTCAGTATGGTGGCAAACATTGCAATATTTATACAGGTAAGCTCTTTAAAGTTGAACCCACATCATTGGGTGTATATTTGGCTCCATGGAATTTAAATAGCCATTGTGCAATATTGTTATCAATGGTCAAATGTAACATTGGGCCCTCAACCCCATAAACAAAATAAATCAGGACACAAAGCATAAGCATTACTTTTTTCTAGCTGTGTTTGATTGACATCTCTCTTCTTTCCTGATGATCCCAAGAGACTAAAAACTCAAAAACAGTAGTTGTAAGAGTTTCTATTGCAGACAAAAGATGAGAACGATAGGTTGTTACTGATTATTTCCCCTATTGGATGATGGTGGACCTTTTTTAAACCAATTCACTAAAAAAAAAGTGTCTGTTGTACTGAAGAAAGCATAATGGGTGACAATTTCCTTAATCAAAACACACTGCATTGGGAGGTTTACACAATACATTAAACCTAAGCTAAGAAATCCGTTTGATAACTTGATGCAGTGTGTGAATCCAATTCTGATAGCGGTTCTTTGCATTCAATGAAGGAGGCTTTTTTCTATTGTGCCAGACTAGACAGAAGTAGGACTCTTTATGTAAATCAGATAATAGTAAAATCTCTACTTACAGAGTGGTCACAGCGGGACTTGGAAAGAGCTGAAAATGTGAAATTCTGCCGTCAGTACCTCGTTTTCCATGACAACCAGTCCGTCATCTATTCTGGCCCCTCAGGCAATTGCACTGAAGTCAAAGGAGAGTAAGTCTAGATTGCATTGGCCTCTCCTTGCTGCTGACCTAAGTGGAATATATTGGTCGGGCATTGAGACTAATTTAAGGATTCCCACCCCGGGCAGAGGATTGTTTAAAAGCCAGCTTTGAAGAGCCAGTTTGGTCTAGTGGTTAAGGCACCAAGCTAGAAAGCGGGAAATTGTGAGTTCTAGTCCCACCTTAACCATGAAAACCAACTGGGTGACTTTGGGCCTATCACTGAATCTCAGGCCAACCACATCACAGGTTTGTTGTTGTGGAGAAAAAAGGAGAAGGAAGGTGTATTGAATATATTCACTACCTTGAATTATTTGTAAAAATAATAAAGACAGGATATAAACAAATAAAAAGGCACCCAGGTCCCTTCAACCTTATGATTTTATGATTCTATATTTATAGAATATATATTGTATATCTATATATATTTTCCACCTAGACTGCTCAGTCGGGATTCTCCAAGTGGAACTCAAAAAGCTGTTGTGCGAAAGATGAACAATAGCAAAGGCGAGGAAAAACAGTTCCTGGAGGTATGTTTCACTCCTGCTCAGTAAGGCTTCATGGCTTGGGGGTTTGCTCGGTAGGAATTGGGGGCCTTTCATTCTTCCTACTTTTGTCTCATTCTTAGATTGCTTCTATCTGTGGAAGCAATGTTGCAGCAGCTATGATTTATGGGGGTTTTGTTTTATTTTCCTGCAGGAAAGGAAATTGTGTAGCTTTCTCCCACCTTGACGCCATTGTCAGGGAAGCCTTAATTAATGATTTCAGTGAGGAAAAGGCTCTGTGAGCTAAATTGTAGTGTATCTGCTCTCGTAGGTCTGGGAAAAGAACCGGAAGGTGAAGAGCATCGAGTTGACAGCTCTAGAGAAGCATGGCCAAGTATATGATGATGGTAAGGCTTTGTATAAATTTCTGTTTCAGTTCCTAAGAGGCAAGAGACCAGCTCTGTATAATGGCAAATAGTAGGAAAACCTTGGTTAATCTTGGAAAAGAAAGTCTTGAGTCTTTTAATATATTTCAGGGATGGCTTAGAGATTCCAAAATCATGTTTGGGTGATAGAAACATTTTAAAACTATGCCCACTACGCTGTTGCTTTCTGATAGGAGGCTAATGGATGCAGCTTTAGGGAAGAAAATGCATATGCTTGAGCCTACCAGGTATCATCTCCTATTCCCAGATCAGTTTGGCTGTTTGGCCTGGTCACACTCAGAGACTCACCTTCTCTACGTGGCAGAAAAGAAGCGTCCCAAGACAGAGTCTTTCTTTAAGCCCAGAGCCCCTGAGCTGAACACTGAAGAAGAACTGGCCAAGACTGAACGAGACAAAGCAGTGAAGGTGGGATGGACATTACCTTTTATGATTTCCCAGCCAACATTTCTGTTTTCCTTGATCTAGAAAAGCTGTCACACTATCCTTTTAACAATCTGGATAGGAAATAGTTAATGCAAAAGCAAGTTTTCAGGACTGTGATTAGTAATTCATCCATCAAAGGGAAGTTGTACAACATTCAATAAATTCCTGTCTTTCAGATGAGCCTCCAACATACAGACAATTTATAGTGACAAAACTCTCTTCTGGTTTCTTAAAGCCTTAGAGTAGAGGAGACTGAAAACTCCCACTTCCATGAATGCCGGTTTTTAAAAATTATTTTTATGAGCATTTGCATCTGTTCATTCTTTTGGTAACTGCTGCTTAACTTATTGTCAGTGTGAGAACCAACTTTTAAAGAGCAATTTGATAACCTGGATAGGTCTGTTTTGAGTGCTTTGATTTTTAAGTCATTAAATCAGCCAGGGGCCTGATTTTCAGGTTTTGGATAGCATTCATCTTCTATTGTGTTGTTGCCTGTTCTTTTGGATGAAAGTTAGCTCCTTGATGGGTGCGCAATACTTGATATCAGCATCTAGGAGAAGGCATCACATTCTTTTTCCCATTATGAAAATAGCTTTAATGTGATCCTTTGGGAATCTGATGCCTTCATCCTGGTCTGTTCTGAAGGAGCAACTATCTTCTACAGCAGTTTAAGATGCTGTGACCTGTTGTAAAATTATTGCATTCTTAAGAAAGGTATGCCTTAAAACATTCTTGGTCTTGATAGATATAAAGTTGGGAACAGTACTGTGAATCATTGGCCATTTTCCAGACAGGCGAGAATCCTTTTGCTAGCATGCTATGTATCTCAGGATGCCTCTGATTTTATTGTTTTTCTGCCTTTCTCAGGGAGAGCAGTTTGTATTTTATGAAGACTGGGGGGAAACTCTGGTGGCTAAGAGTATCCCTGTACTGTGTGTATTGGACATTGAGAGCAACAATGTTTCCGTGCTAGAAGGTGTTCCAGAATATATCTCACCTGGTCAGGTCAGTACAGAGCACTTGGAATTGGGGGTGGGGGGGATTGATTACCTGCAATTATGGCTGAATTTATATGTGCTTGCTATATCTTGTTGCAAAGAATATAATAGCTATGCTACAACTACCTCAGAAAGAGCCAGTTTGGTGAAGTGGTTAAGGCATCATGCTAGGAACTAGGAGATGGCGAGTTCAAGATGGGTGGCTTGAGCTGGTCACTTTCTCTCAGGCCTAAGATGGAGGCAATGGCAAACCATTTCTGAAAAACCTTGCCAAGAAAACTGCAGGGACTTGTCCAGGCAGTTGCCAAGAATTAGACACAATTGAACAGAAGAAATAAAAGCTGCTATATAATGAAAGATTCATCCTTTGGGAGGGAGAGAAAATATCTTCCTGGAAATAGCATCTTTTATCTCCCACGTCAGGTTCCCAGACAAAGGGATGGGTTGTGTTTCCTGTTCACTCATTGCAAATATTGCTTTTCCCCCCAAGCTATGCTATGCTGAAAGATGGTTTCTGGAGTAAAATCTTAACTTTGCCCACCTTTTCAAACTTAACATCATCTTCTCTCTGCTTCAAGGCTTTCTGGACTCCAAATGACACAGGAGTGGTATTCACTGGCTGGTACCATGAGCCTTTCCGTCTAGGCTTGAAGTACTGCATCAATCGCAGGTGAGTTTCCTTCCAAAAACTGGAGGAGAAATCCAAGTGGAATTTGACTGTCTATACTGCAAGAGGTGTATAAAATCCAATATTAAGCAGATAAACTCTGGAAAGCTTTAGAAGTCCCTTTTCCCAGGATAATTTGGGGTATAGTATTGGTTTTCTCCAATATATATATATATATATATATATAGCATTTAAATGGAAAGGGCATTATAGTCTTTATGAGTTATGATATCTGCCATCCAGGGTGATGAAGGAACATCCCAATATACATAGGGATTATTTTTTATTTTTAGTATTGTCTATTTCTAAGATCATTGGGGAGGGGTTCAGTTGGTCAAAGCATAATATTTCTTTTTCTGTTTAAGGGTTGAATAAAACAGTAGCTTAATTTTAAAAGAAAGGCATCTCTCTACCCTTTTCCTGACCAGTCTTATATGATCCCTTCCTACATTACCACCAGCTGTTTCCCTTCTGCCCCCAGATCATCACTTTTCCATGTCGATCTGACAGGTGGTCAGTGTGGTGAGTACAGGAATCCATCTTTATCTCTCAGTCAGTGCATTCTGCTGGTGATTCCTCTTACGTCATTATCTCCCCTCCCCCCCACCTTACAGAGCTGTTGTCAGAGGACAACAAAGCCATTTGGTCTCCACGGTTGAGCCCAGACCAGTGTCGCATCGTATACCTGGAGAATCAGGCTTCTGGACCTCATCAGCAATGCAGCCGTATCTGCATGGTGAGCACTGATTTTTTTTTTTTTTTAATTTGATTTATATGCTGCCCTTCTCCGAAGACTCAGGGCGGCTTACAATGTGCTCAGCAATAGCCTTCATCCTTTTGTATATTTATACAAAGTCAGCTTATTGCCCCCACAACTGGGTCCTCAATTTACCTACCTTAGAAAGGATGGAAGGCTGAGTCAACCTTGAGCCTTGGCGAGATTCGAACCCTGCAGTAATTGCAGGCAGCTGGTCTTAATAACCAGCTTAATAACAGGGTGCCTTAAGCCCCTGTACTACCAAGGCTCTTTTGTAGTATTTTGAACTATTGGCACAGAAACAATTTCAGGTAACCTGATTGCATCTAGCCAAGTCATTGAGTTAGTCTTTAATTTGTACAGGACTTTTCAGCTCTTTGTAGTGTCGAGCATTTGAACTTCACGTATTGTGGTCAGAGTTCTAAATGATCCCGAGTTTAGTTTGATCTGATTAGACTAAGAACTTCTGGGAGTTTGGGGTGGCTGTTATGGATTAGGAGGGTTGCTTCTTCAACAACCTTGTGAGAAAAGGAGGCAAAAGTCTGTAATGAAAGTAAGGAGAATGAGGTCAAGTGTTTCCTACCAACAACAATTTTGTTTGATCTTCCAAACTTGGAAGTGATGATATCTTTTGCTGCAGGAGAAGTAAGTCAATGGATTTATGAAGTATCACTTTATTTATTCTATATATTTTCTCATTCATACACTACTTCACTATTCTGATTCCTAGTGGTTAGCAATATAGCTTTCCATGACATTTCTTAATTTGAGAGACCAGGAAGTTGTTCCAGCCACATCCCAATTTGATACCTTTCAACCTTTTTTTCAGTATGATTGGTACACAAAGCTCACTTCCGTGATAGTCGATATTGTCCCGCGACAGATCCAAGGTGAGTAATGTGGTACAAATGGCATTCTGAACTATGGATGTAAAATAATTCCTCTTGGATTTTTTGCTCCACATGAATTTGTGACAGGAGGAGCATTAGATACAAAAGATCTATCCTTAATTCTACTTTCTAAAAACAAGAAATAATTTAGTGGCTGGGAAATGGCATTCATTTTTTTAATGCAAGGGATGACTTTAGAATTCCTTCCAGGCTTTTGTTTTTCAACCTGGAAGTCCTGATATACTTACAGTACTGCCAGGTATTTTCTATAGGAGCTTCTTCCATTCTCTGGCACTTCTTGGAAGGATCGTGTTAATATTTAACAGATTTAACAGATTAACACAGTTGGAAGGGACCTTGCAGGTCATCGAGTCCAATTCCCTGCCCAAGCAGGAGATCCTACATCACAACCTCCTGATCGTGAGACAAGAGCTCTATCTCTAGGCCATCGGGTCTTGTAAACATGTTTACGTTGCCAGTTTAGGAAGTGCTTTAAAAAGGAATAATTGTGAAATAAATAAAGCCCAACCCATACATGTTTCATATTTTCTTTAAAAATAAAAGCTGAAAAGAATCCCTTACTATCTTCACGTTAATAAGTATAATACATATTCGAATAGGCCAATCTGTGATGGGTTTTTCCCTCTGAAAAACTGAAAAATGCTAGAGACCTGAAAACAAAAGGGGATTCGTGAACACCTGCACATATCTATCCTAAATATGTTGAATGCTGAACATTTAGAGAATCTGGTGAATTATAGTTTCCAATGGAGCCTTTCTGTCTAACCATGAAAACAGCTGCTGCCTGCATTAATTTGCTCTCTCTTGCAGATGGATTTGCTGGAATCTATAGCACAGCACTGCCTGAGCATTGTTGGGCAGCAGACAGCCAAAGAGTTGTGCTGGACACAACTCACCGCAGCAGGCAGGTAAGGATATTGCTGGATTGTTAGGCTGAGCCAAGAGTATTTTTCACAAACCAAATGTATCCAATCTGGCTATCCTCTAAAGATTCTTCCAGATAGATGATTTTTAAGCATCAGGTCTGCTGAGTCAAGGAATAATCTAAACTTAAAGTCACATGGAGGTTTCCAAACTGATCTAGGTTTATAATGACATAAGGACATCTGTAGAGATGGTTGTGGATTATGTGGGTCCTGGCATTTGTTGTCTTTCCTTTATTTTCCTTTCTCTTCTATATTAGTCTCATGTGTTTAATTTGTTATAAATTATGGTATGGTATATATGAATACATATGTGTGCGTGTATGTACAGTAGATCCTTCATATGCTGGTTTTTCCCTAGGAGCTGATTGTGGTGGATATGGCATCAAAAAGTGTATGTTCACTCACCAAAAGTAAGTATAAAATTTTCCTTATCTCAGTAACCAGATGCTGCTACCTAACTGAGAAATCCCATGGAAAAAATTCTAATAAATTAGCTTAGAACCAAACTGGCAAGGTAGGCAAACTTCTGCTTGAATAAGGAAATTACCCAGACAGAAGCATTGATACCAGGGCCGGATTTAGATGAAAAGAGGCCCTAGGCTATTCCACTTATGAGGCCCTTTCACCTATAGTGAAAGTGTAATTTTAATTTTGCTAACAATTTGAATGTAGGCCCCTCTTGATCTTGAGGCCCTAGGCTGAAGCCTAGTTAGCCTATAGGAAAATCCGGCCCTGATTGATACTATTTTTTTCCTTTCCTAAACTAGGCTCTTCTCTTGGAAGCTGGGTGCTGCTCACCATTGACAGAGATCTGATGGTGGCCAGATTCTCCACTCCTAACTCTCCTCCTATGCTTGTAAGTTCTGTGTGGCCTATGTTGGAAATCCTTCAGCTTCAATGTCATGCTTAAGTGCTTTCCACCCAACATCAGTTTAAACTCTGCATATCCAAATATTGTATTATTGATCAAACAAAATAGGATCTAATGCTGGATATCTCTTTTAATAATTTATCTTGCTGCAGATGGTAGCTTTTCTGCCTCCTGCAGGCAAGGAAGCAGACGTGAATTGGGTATGTCTAGAAGAAACTAGTCCAATTCAAGGTATTAGTTGGGATGTCCATATTCTTCAACCTTCTGCAGATCAAGACAATCCCCAGTACAGTAAGTATCCTGAGGGGAAATTTTGGACCAATTTAACCATCTGTTATTTTTATGCTTCAGTTTGAGTTGCCTTTCTACAGAAAAACTTGGAAGACTGATAGTGATTTTCCTTAACCTGCAAATTATTTCCTGTATTCCCAGGAGGCCTAGATTTTGAAGCCATACTACTCAAGCCCACTCAGGTACCAGAGCAAAGCAAACTTCCGTTAGTGGTGTCACCACATGGTAAATTGCTTGTCTTGTTCCCTTCCCTCATCCTAGTCCTGTATAATGTCATTCCCTCACTATTCATCTGAGCTTGACTCCATTTTTTTTCTTGAAAGGAGGCCCGCATTCAGTGTTCACCACCACCTGGATGCTATATCCAGCAGTGCTCTGCCGAATGGGATTTGCTGTGCTGTTGGGTAGGTAATAATCTCTTTCAGACACCAAGATGTCTGCTGGGTCATCTGGCATAAGGACTGTGCATACCCTGGGCAGCCATCCTTTAAGCGAGCAATGATAGATTATAGAGCTGTGATAGTCAGTTCATAACTCTTGACATGGACATTATTTTAGAAAGACAAGCTTCCCCAGCCTTATGCTTCCAGATGTGCATGGCCATAATCTCTTAGAAGTCTCAGCCACACAGTCATATTCACAAGCTGGAGTCTTTTGATACTGGAGCTATGTCAAGGCTAATTCCGATAGTAAAATCCAGAGCTTCTAACATTATTGGAGGCATTTGTCATTGTAGTGAAATTTTGCTAAGGCAAATAAGTTTGAAACCGGAGAAAGTTTGGCTATCGTAATATTGTGCTTTCCCTCTCTTTTAAGTGAATTACCGAGGATCATTGGGCTTTGGCCAGGATAGTGTGGATTCACTACCAGGAAATGTGGGCTGCCAGGATGTCAAAGATGTGCAGGTAAGAAAGTCCCTTCCTCCATTTCCAACAAGACTATTTGAAACGTTCACTACATGGAGAAATGTAGATATTTACTGTAACAAGAAGGGAATTCAACTGTCACCAAGGAGAATGGCTGTTTATATTCCCTTGCCAGATCAAACTCTCAGTAGGATAAGTGTGAAGTCCTTGTGAGACTATACCTCCTTTAGAGATGTGTGTAATATATTTGTTCTTATATATACAAGAACAGGAAATTTTCTCACGAGGATCTATCCAAATGTAGTTTGTATTTTTCAAGGTATACATTGAGACGACCTAATCATAGTCCTATCAGAACTCAGCTAAACATTTGGACTTTTCTTTGTCCACATGTATATTCAAGATGCCGTAATCCTTGCTCCCTCGGTAAACCTTTTCTTTTCCTTGTAGTTCTGTGTAGAGCAAATGCTACAGAAAGAACCTCTGGATTCAAAGAGAGTAGCTTTGCTTGGAGGATCTCATGGAGGCTTCTTATCTTGTCATCTCATTGGCCAATACCCCGGCACATATAAAGCCTGTGTGACCAGGAATCCTGTGGTCAATATGGCCGCCATGATTGGAAGCACGGATATCCCTGATTGGTGAGTATTTATGAACAACTATGTTCTCCTTTTTGAGCAGATGCTGTCGTTACTGATGCCTGCTCTGTGGCTCCTTCTAGGTGCATGACTGAGGTTGGGCTACCCTATGACCAAGCTGCTCTCCCAGTTCCTGAACAATGGGAAAAGATGCTGCTTCATTCACCTATGCAGTTTGTTGACAAGGTACAATACATCTTTCCCTCCCTTTTTGTATATCCATTACTCTCAGATCATCATATTTTTTTCTTACTTTCGGTATTCTGATTTCCATCTTACATTCTTTCCCTTAGGTTCAAGCACCAGTTCTCCTGTTGATTGGAGAAGAAGACAGACGTGTTCCCCCCAAGCAAGGCTTGGAATATTACCGTGCACTTAGATCCAGGGGTATTCCAACCCGGTAAGCCTCTTGGGTAGAATTGAAGAAATTGGGTGTCTACAAGAAATCAGAGAAATCAGAGAAAAACAGAAATACATGCAACGGGGGTGGGTGGGTGGGGGGGTAAAATAAAATGATAACCTGGGCAGAAGATGGGGCTGAAATGATGATGATGATGATGAGGGAAATGTCAGCAAAGTAACTCTATATTAGCTGATGCCTCTGTCTCTTCATATTTCTAGGATGTTGCAGTATCCAAGAGATAACCATGCACTATCCAGTGTGGAGGCCGAGGCAGACGGTTTCATGAATATTGCACTCTGGCTTCTCCAACACTTGAAATAACAATTACAGAAGCTTACACTTTTGGGTTGAGGCCAGCTAACAGAAAGTCAAGTCTCTTCAGTTTGAAAGATCTTCTAGTAGCTGATTGGTACTCTGATCCCTAGTCTCCAAAGTCTGAACAGGCACATAACAATGTGGACATCATCCTCGAGGCCTCTCAATTGTGCTAGAGAGAGAGGCTACACTGGCCAAATACATCATTTTGCCAAATTTAGCATTTTATCAATAATATCACCATTATAACTATGCAGAACGGTCAAGTACTGGAGCACTGATAAATATTCTCATTAGATAGTATTAGACACTCTGTAATTTCATTTAAATGATTGGCGCTAAACTGAAAAGAATGAATTTCAGAAATCAAACAGAATATATTCTTGGGATAATCTTATTAATTTCTATCAATTAAATTATTTAGTTTAAATACTTAGATTGGGAATGACTGGAATGCAGTATTTTGAAGAAGTGATGTAAAATCATTAACTTGAAATTTAAATAATGAAATTATGTTTCACAAAATTAAGTTTCTTGATGGCTTGGATTGGAAAAACTTGATGTGGTGTATGTGAAAAGAATCTGGGTATTGTTGACCACAAGTTAAACAAAGCCAGCAGTGTGATGGAGCTACTAAAAAGGCAAATGTTATCTCAGTGTGTTAACAGGAACACAGTCCAGATAATAGGAAGTAACTGTTCCACTCTATTCTGCAGAGTCCAGTTTGGAGCACCATATTTCAAATAGCACAGTAATGTAGAAGTAAGTTCAGAGGAGGGCTAATAAGATGGTGAATGAACTGGAAATCATGTTTAGCCTACAGAGATACAGCTAAGGGAAGATATATGAACCAAGACAAATTCCTTGTGTGTCCAATCAAAAAACTTGGCCAATTAAAAAAAAGTTCTATTCTACATGTTAGCAGTCATTAGATATCTGAAGAGTTGTTTCATAGATCAGGGAATTGATTTATACTGTTTCCCCAGAGGGCATGAACAGAACCAAAGGTTAAAACTACAGTGAAGGAGGTTCAGGCTAGACACCAGGAAGAACTTCTTGATTGTATTACTTGTGAGCCAGTTGTAAGTTTTCCTTCACTAATGTATTCAAGCAGTAGTTGGAAGCTCATCTATCACACATGCTATGGTGGATCCAAGACTCCGCGGATTGGACTAGATGACTTCTTTGGTCCCTTCCAAAACTGAATCTGTTTGATTCATACAAGCTATTAAAGTGAACTTAAAGTGAACTTTAATAGCTGTAGCAATAAGTCACAACATATTAAGGGTTGTCTAGGAAAGAAAAATAATTCACTACCAGACCAAAGAATTACTGCCACTGCCGTCTGTGCACAAGTATCTAGTAATAAGCCTTTTTAACGGTTTGATTAGCTCTGGAATATGCCTATTTGTTCTCACATCTAGGACATCATACATCTTTGTTCACAGAAAAAGAATTAATTAAAGGAACCTAATTGAGAAAATAACCTGTTACTTGTTCTATTTATAAAATGTTATCTACTGAAAGAATGATTAAATTAAAATATACTCCTTCATAGGATAGCTTCTGATTTACTGAAGACCAGTAATTTGAACAAGGACTTCAATCTCCTGTGTTTTGTTTCATACGACACTGCTTTATTTTTGGTTTGTAGTGATGCTGCACTGATTAATGTTTTGCAGGCCATGGGTTCTAAGAATGTACTATAAATGAAATTTTGTTGACATTTTTATTGAACTAACCACTTGATCTTTGCCACCTGCTTCCAGAACTGAATATTTCCTGGTCCCTGATTAGCAATAGCAATAGCAGTTAGACTTATATACTGTTTCACAGTGCTTTACAGCCCTTCCTAAGCGGTTTACAGAGTAAGCATATTGCCCCCAACAGTCTGGGTTCTCATTTTACCCACTTCTGAAGGATGGAAGGTTGAGTCAACCTTGAGCCGGTCAAGATTGAACTGCTGGCAGTCAGCAGAGTTAGCCTGCAATACTGCATTATAACTATCACACCACCACTTCACTGGCAACAGCAAATGTGTTCAAGGAGATGCACCTGGTGGTGTTAGTGCTGGCAATTTAGCTGGGTGAATCTATGTATCATGCATATATAGCACATATAATGCAAGGTTGTCCTCAACCTACAATCATATTGGAGCTTGCCCAAGATAGTTCTCAACTTAAAACTGAAGGAGTGAGAAGATGCCTATCCAGTAAGTAGTAAAGCAGTTCACCACATGACCATACCTGGTTTTATGACCTTTTTTGCAATGGTCATTACGTGACCATTAGTAAAGCAAACACATTGTTCACTAAGGGCCATTTTTGATGAAACAAAATAGATCTTGGTTTTCAGCAAAAACATCCTAAAATGCAGTCATAGGATGTTGCAAATGGCCATAAATGCAGGCTGTTTGCCAAGTGTCCAACATAGTCATGTGACTGGTATGTGTATATGAGTGAACTTCAGAATTCGGTCATAAGTACTTTTGGGGGAGCACCATTGTAACTTCAAATGCTCACTAAGCATCTGGATGTAAGTCTACTGTATTCAAACACAGAGATACACAAAGTTTCTGTTCTGATCTGGCTCCCAAACATGACAAACCCACTGTAGTTAAATCAATGATTCTTTTGTTAGGAGCGCCAGCAGCCCCGGCAAAAGTCTCTCTCACCCAGCAGGCTAACAAGCCTGTCCAGCAGGGAAGTGAATAGTTGTCTGCCACACCTATTCATTTCTGTCCCCTGCCTTTTATCCCCAGAGCTAGAGTGGAGCTTTGCTAGCAGTGGTGGGTCTTCCATCCCAAGTATCGGCCCATAGATTACCACTGCTTTCCTCTCCTCTGCCTTCTGTGCATCCACGTGTCAGGCACTGGACCCAGCTGTTCCTCTTCCTCATCAGCCACCTCCAGACATGGGGGCTATTGACTCCATTTGAGAGCTGGTGGACGGCCCAGGCTCTGCCTCTGTCTCTTATCTCTGACAGCTCCATTCCCTCTTCCCACTCTGAGCTCTCAGGTTGCCTTGATGCTGACCCTGACTCCCAAGCCACCGCCTCCTCTGATCCAGTTGTTGGAGGGGCCGGCAGCCGACAGGCCATAACAGTTTCCTTTGATCAAATAACATGGATTAAGGATATGCATATTTATATTCTTCATAATAGGAGAATATAAACAGATGATATTCCCCATAAATGAATTTAGCCTCTAGCCTCAATGTTTGTTGAAAGTATTTCTTTCTCTTCTGCCAGAACAACTTCTGAAGTGCTTTACTGATGAATCCAATCAGAGAACCTTTGCCTAGGAAGACACAAGATGAAGGGATAACTGGGTGAAAAAGACAAAGTGGGGGGAATTATTCTGATACTGTGATAATACCTGATTCTTGTAACTGGTGAATAGTGTACATCTGTAAGCAGCCGGCATGAAAATCAGCTCAAAAAGGAAAAGCAAAAAAAATAAAGATCAATTTCCTTAGTAGAATAAATGCTGGTTTTTCATAGCTTATGGTGGCCCTACTCCTAAGAGTTTCTTTTTGTTGTTGTTGTTAGCATGTCTACTTTATTTTTTATTTTCCGCCTATTATGGCAAAAAAAAAACTACATTGCGTGCTTGCACACTCCCGCTTCGTCCCGTAGTCAATTCATTCCGCTACGGCTTTTTAGGTTCGCATGACACGAGCGTATCGCCAGCCACGCTGCTGGTTTCAAGCTACTGTTTACCCGCCAACCGAAAATAGCTCTGCTTTTCCCCTCCGCCTTCCCTTTGCCTGTCCAGCCCTGCGCGTCCTCTTCCCTATCCCCACGTTTTGCCGTTTTGACAACTGATGGGCGGATTGCGTGAATGAGCCCGGGAAGCAAAATAAGCCGCGTTTGGACGTTTAGGTTGGACGCCCGCGGGAGAAGCAACGCCGGAGGGGAAAGCAGCGCGTTGTCTTCCCAGGCGCCTGAAGCGCCGGATGCCAAAGCCGCGCTCTGCCCTCCCGGGCTGTGAGGAAGAAGGGCGAGATGAGGCTGGTCCCGCCTTTTGCCATCTGGCCGAGCCAATCACCGCGGCCATTCCTTATCTCGCGCCCGCTTGTTATACTGCAGCGTCGGCCTTTCCGAAGCTGAGCGGACGCACCTGCACTCGCGCCTGCTTTTTGCTCTGCCGGGGCTCGGACAGGTTTTCGGGCAGCGGGAGAAGACGGGGGTATCATGGCGCGCAGCTCGGAAGGCGCGAGAGAAGCGGTAGGGCGACTTTGAGGAGAGGAGTGTAAAGGAAGGGAGGCAGGGAGGCAGAACTGGCCCCGCTGCGTCCCCGGATGGCGAAGAAGAAACGGGGAAGCGGCTCCTAAGGAGGCGCCCTCAACTCATCGCTTTCTCTCTCTCTCTCTCTCTCCAGCTGTCCGGCCGAATCGGGACCGTCTACCAGGAAGTCAGCCGCTTTCCGTCAGTGACTTATGCCAACGTGGGACCCGAGATTGCTGCCCGTTGTGGTGCCAAGTGCCTGCCCCTCTACACGGGTGAGCCACTTCACTGGAGCCCCTGTTTCTTGCTCCAGCTAGTCCTGGCTCTCAGAGTACAAGGTGGTCCCTCGAATTACAACAGTTCGTATAGCGGCCATTCAAAGTTATAACCGCACCTGGAGAAAAAATGTGACGTATGACCATTTTTCATGCTTACGACCGTTGCAGCATCCCCATGGTCACGTGATCAAAACTGAGAGACTTGGCAACTGATTCATATTTATGACTGGATTGCAGTGTGCCAGGGTCATGTGATCACCTTTAGCAACCTTCCGGCAAGCAATCTCAATGGGGAAGCCAGATTCGTTTAACAGTCGTGTTGCTAACTTAACAATTGCAGTGATTCACTTAACAGCGGTGAGAAAGGTCATAAATTGGGGCAGAATTCACTTAATAAATGTCTCACTTAGCAACTTTTAGAAATTTTGGGCTAAATTGTGGTCGTAAGTCGAGGACTACCTGTAGTCTATGTTAGGAAGGGAACAGCGTTACTTTCAAGTTCTCTTGGTTTGCCGGTTTCTTGAACTACCTATGAATGAGATAGTGTTTGAAGTACTTTTTGCATTTTGCAAACATGGGAAAATGGGCTGGCACAAGCTGATGTATAGTCTATCAATTGGATAAACTTTGTTTAGCCTGTGCCTTCTGTACATTATGATTGAAGATGAGGGAGTCTTGGAAGGGGAGAATTCTGAGTGCAATTGAATAGTAAAATAAAATTAGGCATATCTCCAGTGTTAATTTTGTTTTGTCAAATACACTAATAACCCTTCTAGCTGAAAATGCAAAGGTCTGCAAGTCCTAATATTAAAAGTCGAAGAGCACAGCGAAATAATGGCATTAAAATTCAATATAAGGAAGAGCAAACTAATGACAACAGTGGAATAACCAGTCCTACAATTGACAATGAAGCTATCAAAGTGGTAGTGGAGAGCTTCTGCCTTTTAAGATCAACCTTCAATAGTAAAGGAACAATCAGTCAAAAAATAGACTGCAGATTAGCATTTGCTACTGCAGCCATGAAGGTCTTGGAAAAGATAATCAAGTGCCAAAACGTGTCTATACCTACAAAAATCAGAATTGTACAGACAGTGACATCTATGGAAGTGAAAGTTGGACTTTAAAGAAGCAGGATAGGAAGAATCCCTTTGAACTTTGGTGTGGCAGAAGAATACCATGGGCAGCCAAGAAAACAAACCAATGGATCATATGGAACAAATCAGCCCAGAGTTCTTACTGGAGGCACAAATGATCATGCTCAAATTATCCTATTTAGGACACATATGTAAAGAACCAGCTTTCTGGGAAGATGGAAGGAAAGAGAAGAAGCAAACAATAAGCAATGGGTGGGATCAGTTATAGTGGCAATGAGTGCATTGTGGGAGACTTGATAGACCAGGTTAAGGATAAATCTTAGTGGAAAAGATCTATCTATGTAGTCATTAGGAGACAAAAATGACTAGATGGCACATAATCACTTTACTGTTCATGTCCTCAAGTATGTGTTTAAGACTATGCTCCGGACTTTAAAGAAATTGAGTTTTAGACTTCTGATCAAAGCTTGTTAAATATGGAACAGTATAGCTTCTTGTCTGAACTTCTACCACAACCAAGACAACAACAACAATTGCCTGGCAGCTCTTAGAAGAACAATACAATATCAGACTAGTCTGACTTGCTTCTCTCTTTCATTTGATCAAAGATATTAAAAGAGAAAAGGTATCTAATAAAGGCCGAATTGTAATGGCAACTGACTCATCATTTGAAGACCTGTTTGGGGACAGCACCTTCTGGAGAAAATCTATTGATGTGTTCACTGAGTCAACGTTGATTTGGTGGCATATCATCAGTCATAACTATGTCATATTTCTAAGTGGGA